AGTCTAAACTAGAGTATGCATTGATGCAGATGTCAATCTTCTTTAACGAGAGAGAGCGTCATGAATGTGACTATAGGTATCAAAAATTATTTATCAACTAGTTTTTTCGGATATTTTTTCTTTACTGCCACAATAGCAAGAGGTTAGTATTGTTGGACCCTTTATTAGCCTCTATTTAAGCTAGTTGAGAAATTAATCATCATATATGGATTTATGCTAAATGAATATAAGGTAGGAACTCCTATGTATTTTCTTATTAAGCATATTCAGCTTGGTATGAAAAACTCATATGCACTTGCTAGTGTTAAGAACCCTTGCCATATTCAACTTGGTCCCTTAATATTCACTAGGTGATAATTTACTGTGTCCACTAAGATATTCTTGCTATCATTCCTCCATATGTTAATTTCATTTGGCTATTTATGGAAAGTATCTAAATTTGCTAGTTTAGAATATATACAAAATGTAAAAATTATCCTGAATATAATGGTGTTGTTTGCATATTCAAATTCACAATCTAATATCATTCAATATTGAATAAGTTTTCATAATTACCCCAAAAACTAACTCTTAGGACTAAGTTGAAAGCCCAAAGTGTGCTTTATTGGGGCAGGGCAGGGGGGGCGGGGGGGAGCTTTAGGGGTTTTCAAATGTATAATAGAGATAGTCGGTAGATTGCGTATGGTTGATCAACCAAAGGTATAGTTTAACTCTTTATTTACATGTTTATCCTTGTTTTGCATTTGGCTTGGGTTTAAGTTTAGACTCTAGACCATGCTAGTTTAGATATTACAAAGTTGATTATCCACAGCTAATAAAAAATAACAAAGATTTGGTGGAATATTAAACCATTAAACCATTGCTATGCTGAAATAGTATTAAACTCTATTTAGCTCCATTTTATATGTTAGTCAATGTTGGGATGTTAAATGTTTTAGGACTATTTTTATATCATCCATGCTTTTATCCTTTTGCTCCTTGGGCTAAATACTCAAAAGTCATTTTGTGTTTTGGTTTTTTTGCTCTTTGGTTGTATGCTTGAGAGTTTAGCTTTGTCTCTTCGTTCAATACCCCAAAGCCCTAAACTTAGGTTCCACTTTATTGCCATTGGGTCACATATCCAAAAGTTAAATTTTTGCTCCATAGTTAATTTATGGTAAATCACTATAGGGTAAATAAAAACCATATGTGCTATAAATATTTATTAACTAATCCTTTTAGAATTTTTTTTACTACCATTATAAAAGATTAACATTGCTAATTCCTTATATTAGTCTTTTTTATTTAAATATAGTAAACTGGGCTTAACATCTGTACTTAGCCAAATAAGCATAAAGTAAAAACTTCTATATATTTTTATTAAATATAATAGGTCTAACTTTTAGTTATTTTTTGCTTTATTTTGCACTAATATAGCAAAAACCCTTATATATTAAGCCCTAGTCCCTTAATATTGCTACATGATAATTTATAGTGTTTATTAAATATTCTTGTTATTATGCCCTTTATGCTTATTCCATTTTAATTCTATTAACTAAATGTCTAGAGTTGCCAAAATAACACACTATAGTGTTATTTCCACATCTAAATTTGTAATCTTTTTTTAAAGCAAGCTTTCATAATGTATAAATGCAAAATTAATCTTATTTAGAATAAACTAAATTATACTAAGAAGTATTTAATAAAAAAGTTTATATATTATAATAAAAGATTAATCTAAATTAATAAAATGGTAAAATATCCTAAAATACTTAAATATATTACTTATTCTTTTATACAAATAAAAAAAGGAACTTTTAGCAATTCTTAAACAATTCTTCATTTATGTCCTACCTCTTGTCCTTTTAAAAAAAGTGAGTGACCAGTTCCATTTAAAGCAATTCCCACGATGGAATCCTGCAGGGGAATCTTGCGTGTTCTTACCAGAAGTCTCGGCAAGAGCAAACACCACCCTGGAAAACGTGGAACCGATTCGAGTCGCGCACAACGATCTGGCGCTTGAAGATCTTGGATATAAGCTTGGTGGCGGCGTGGCAGTCGGGGCACGCCCGCAAGTTAGTAAGGACTCGCAGCGCTGTTCCTGGAGCGGTGCTCATCATCCCAAACGCGATGGCCAGCTTCTCGCTGTGCAAGCAAACCAGCTGCTCTTTCACCTCGTCGCTCAGCTCGTAATGCAGCACCTCTCCCGTGTCTGGAGAGTAGCTCCGCTCCACCATTGCGGCGTGGATCTTCCGCAGCTCCTCGTAGATCTCCTCGTTCTTGGGGTGCGAGGCATCTCCAACGACGAACTTGTGGACCCTTCCATCGATCTCGATCATGCTTACTCCTTGCAGCTTGGCCAGCGATCGTTGCTTCATCATGCTCCCCACTCGAGCAGCGTCGTCGTGCCTCCCGGCCGCGGCATAGACGCTGGCCAGCGTCACGTACGGGACCGAGCTCTCGGTGGCGAGCTCCAAGAGTTTGTCGGCGATCTCCGCCGCTCGAGCGGCGTCGCGGTAGATCTTGCACGCGCCCAGCAAGCTCCCCCAGGCGGCCTCGCTGGGAAGAAACGGCATGCTCTCGATCAAGTCGTGGGCTTCCTCCAGCCGGCCCGAGCGGCCGAGGAGATCCACCATGCAACAGTAGTGCTCCTGCGAGGCCTTGATCCCAAAGTCGTGGAGCATCGACACGAAGAGCTCGCGGCTCGTCTCCACGAGCCCGAGGTGGCAGCACGCAGCGAGGAGGCTCATGAAAGTTAGATCGTTGGCTCTCACTCCCTCGGAGCTCATGGCCTGGAACACGGCTAGAGCAGTCACTCCCTGCTCGTTCTGAGCGTATGCATGGACGAGCGAGTTCCAGGAGACAACGTTGCGAGTGGCCATTCGATCGAACAAAGCTCTTGCCTCGTCAAGATAGCCGTTTTGAGCGTAGCCCGCGAGCATCGTGTTGTAGAGAGCGGTGTCTTGCTGGTGGTGCGCCGCCGCCGTGGTAGACTTCTGGAACAGGAGCTTGGCCTCCTGAATATAACCACGCTGGGCGAAACCGGCAACCATGGTACTGACCATCGCACCGTCGTCCAGCTCGTGCAAGCTCGCAAACATCTTCTTGGCGTCCTGGACATGCCCGTTTTGCGTATAGGCCGCGAGCATGGCGGTGCACGAAACAACGTTCTTCTCGGGTATCTCATCAAACACTCGTTTAGCGCTGGAGAGGAGACCATTCTGTCCGTAAGTCGCCACCATCGCGTTCCACGAGATGATGTCGCGCGCGGGCATTGCCGCGAACACGGCCTCGGCTTCTTCGAGGTGTCCGTTCGCAGCGAACGAGGAGGCCATCACATTCCACCCGAACAAGCTCCTCTCGGGCATACTGTCGAAAGTTTGCTTGGCTTTGGCCGCGGCTTCGCACTGCGCGTACGCCGTCACCATTGCCGTCCACGAGATCAAGTCGTGGCTCGGCATTTTGCGAAACGTTGCTTCCGACTCGCCGAGATGGCCCGTGGTGGCGAAAGCCGAGAGCATGCTCGTCCAGCTTACGACGTTCCTGACTGGCATCTTGTCAAAGAGGAGCTTGGCACCATGAGAATTGCCACTGTGAGCGTAGGCTTTGATCATACTCGTCCAGGCCATTGCGTTCTTCTCCTGCATTTGATCGAACGCACTCTTGGCTTCCTCCACCAGCCCATTCTCTGCGTAAGCTTGGACGATGGTGCTCCAGGAAAGCACGTCTTTCTCCGGCATAGCATCAAACAAGGACTTTGCTTGCTCAAGCTGGGAGCTGTGAGCAAGCACCGCCACCATGGCATTGCATGAGACCAAGTCCCACTCCGGCATCCTGTGGAACAATAGTGTTGCTTTGGCGGAGTTTCCAGCCGAGCCAAGACGCGAGAGCATCGAGTTCCAAGTCACGATGTTCCTCGCAAGCATTGTCTCGAAAATCTGCCATGCTTCGTGTGATTGGAAACTTTGTGAGCAGCTTGCAACCATCGCAGTGCAAGCGACCACATTCCACATCGGCATCCTGTAGAAAAACTCTCGAGTGACGGATGGTTCCTCGTTTGGTGCCCCGACTATGGCAGTCCACGAGAAAGCGTCCCTTCTCGCCATAGAATCAAAAACTTCCTTGGCTTGTTTCGTATATCCGGCTTGGGCATACGCTTGAACCATGCTGTTCCACGACACGAGGTTCTTCTCGGGCATTGCTCGAAAAACCTCTGCTGCTTCTCTTATACTTCCGCTTTGGCTGTAAACTTGCGAGAGGGAGTTCCAAGTTACTACTGACCAGTTTGGCATCCTATCAAACACGGCCTTAGCTTCTACAAGTTGGCGGCTGTGGCCATAAACGTTGACGAGAGAGCTCCAAGACACAAGATCCCGCTGACGCATAGCTTCAAAGACTTCTTTAGCTCTAGCAACATCAAAAATTTCTCCGAGCGCTGCAACGATCGAATTCCACGACACAACATCCCACTGAGGCATCTTGTCAAAAACCACCTTAGCTTCTTTGTAATACCCGTTCTGGGCATTCACAGAGATCATCGTGTTCCAAGAGATAACATTTCTCTCGAGCATTTTCTCAAACGCCGCCTTGGATTCCTCCATTTTTCCCAAGGTGGCATAGGTTGGCAGCACCGCATTGCATGACGCTACGTCCCATGCTGGCCTCCTGTGGAAGATCCTCTTGGCCTCCTCCAGATACCCATTCCGGGCATACGCTGCCGTGAGCAGGCTCCACGAGAGCGAATTGGAACTCGCGGCTTCCTCAAACACGATTCTCGCCTCTCTGGGGCTGCCACATCGCCCATACATCTGGATGAGCAAATTCGCAAGGAACCTGTCCGGACCGACGATCCAGGCATGGACCCGCCTGCCCTCTTCCAAATCTCTGGATTCGCCACAAGCGCGAATGACGCTGGCGAGGAATTGGATGGAGCAGCGCGCCATTCCATTCCTATCGCCATCGAAGGCCAGCCAGAGGACGAAGAAGCACGAATATGCTCTTTTGGTGCCTTAAAGCACTCGGGAAGATTAGGGTTCTTGGGTTAGAGGGCGCTTGGCTGGAGGAGAGAGGTATGGCGCGGGCGCTGCGCCGGCGCCGTGGATTGATGGGTTTGTTTCTCTCTTGTCCAGGCTGCGCGTAGAATCGAAGATGAAAGAAGAGTTTCGGTGCTTCATCGGCGGCCTGTCGTGGAGCACGACCGATCGCAGCTTGGAGACGGCGTTCCGGCCCTATGGATCCATCATCGAAGCCAAGGTTACATTGAGTCTGATGGATGAGATGATTTCCTCTCTTTGGGTCGGTCTAGGCACCGGCTTCCTTGCTTGCCTTCTTTTGTGCAGAGTTTCTCAAGGTAAAGCTCTACGAGGTCGTTTAAGTTCGAGCTGGATCTTTCGCTTTGCTTGGATCCTCGTGGATCTCTCCTCTTCTACGCTGGTACTGATCGCTCGCTCTTCCCTGTAGGTGGTGTTTGATCGCGAAACCAACCGGTCCCGGGGCTTCGGCTTCGTGACTTTCGAAGACGAAGAGTCGATGGAGAATGCCATCCGGAAGATGCACAACCAGGAGCTGGAAGGCCGCTCCATCACCGTGAGCAAGGCCGAGCCGCCAAGGAGTGGTGGTGGCGGCGGCGGCGGAGGAGGAGGAGGCCGAGACCGCGGCGATCGCTACGACCGAGACCGAGAAAGAGGCGGCGGTGGTGGCGGTGGAGGAGCTAGCGGGAACTGCTTCAAGTGTGGAAACAAAGGCCACTGGGCTCGAGACTGTCCAGAGAACGGTGGCGGCGGCGGCGGCGGCGGCGGCGGTAGAGACAGGTATGGAAGTGATAGATATGGTAGCGACCGCGGAGACAGGTATGGCGATGGTAGCCGAGGCAGCGGCGGCCGCTACACTGGTGGCGGTGGTGGTGGCGGCGACCGAGGTGGCGACCGCTATGGTTCCCGGGACAGTGGCCGGAGGTCCGGACCGTATGATCGCCCCTCGAACAGGTCCTCGAATGGAGGCAGCCGAGACGATCGCTACTGACACCATGGAAAGAAGAGAGAACTCACGATGATCTTGTTCGTCTTTGTTAAATACTTCACTTTCTTGGAAGATATTTTCCTCTCTCTGTGGATCTCTCTGTCGGAGATCTCTACTTGGTGGATTTTCGCTCGAATCCTTCGTGGACGGGCTCGTTCCAGGCGGAGGCCTCGACGCCGGTGACCCGAGCTGCCGCGGGGCCGCTGTGACACTTTTGGATCATGGCGTCCACCGCGGTGGTCTTGCCCGAGAAGACGGCCTCCACGGAGCCATCCTTTCGGTTCCTCACCCAGCCATTGATCCCGAGTTGCTTGGCGGTGTCCATGGTCCAGTTCCGGTAGAAGACGCCCTGGACCATGCCTTTGATCTTCACATTCACCTGGAAGAAGACATGGGCAATTGGAATGGATGGATTCGAGTTGGAGGCTCCACTCCACTCACCGTTTTGTGATCTGGGCTAGGACTGGGGCTGGCATTTGCGCTCATCCTCCGGCAGCGAGTGGTCAGGGAGGAACCTATAGCGACCGAGGACGAGGACTTCATTTGCTTCCTTTGCCTTTTCGCCTAACGACGGTGGTATATTCCACCCCCGGCTTTCGCATATTCTTGTCATTTGGCTAATTGGGTGTTTAGGTATTTGCTAAGAGGACATATGCCGCAGCCCGGACTGGATCCGACTTGAGCACCTGCCTCGTCGCTCGAGCGCCTCGATTGGGATCGCGGTAGCTCCGGCACGAACCGAGCAGCGATGTCCACTCGAGGAAATCGGGCTCGAAGGGCATTGTGGCGATGAGTTCCTGGGCGTCTTCCAGATACCCCCCGCGGCCGAGGACGTCAATCATGCAGCCGAAGTGCTGCTTGTTTGGTTGCAAGCCGAAGTCCGAGGCCATGGAGAGGAAGTGTGATACGCTGGTGAAGACTTTGCCGCCATGGCTGCATGCGAGAAGGACGAGCAGGAACGAGGCTTCGTCGGCAAGGTCGAGGGTCTTCATTGTTTTGAAGAGGTCGTAGAGAGGGCCTGTGTCCCCGCTTCGGGCATACGCAGCCAGCATTACGTTCCACGAGATGGTGTCGGTAGAGGGCATCAAGCGGAAGGTCTTCTGGGTTTGCGAGAGATGCCCGTTTTGGGCGTAGCCGGAGAGGAGTGTGTTCCACGACGCGGTGTCACGCTCAGGCATGGAGTAGAAGACGACCTCGGCCTCCGAAGGTTGGCCGTTTTGGGAGTGAGCCGAAACCATGGCGGCCCAAGATACCGCGTCCAGCTCGGGCATCCTCTCGAACACTTGCCTGGCTTCCTGGAGATGCCCGTGTTGGGCATACGCTGTAAGCATAGCAGTGGTAGAGAAAAGGTTTTGTTCCGGCATTGAATCAAACAATGCTTGAGCTTGCTCAACGTCCCCGTTTTGGGAGAACGCTGTAAGCATTGCAGTGGCCGAGAATAAGCAGTGGCATGGCATGTTATCAGAGAGATTCTTAGCATCTTTGAGATAACCATTGTGGGTGTATGCAGCTAGCATGGCGTTGAGAAGTACGTCATCTAAAACTGGGGCGCAATCAAACAAGAGCTTAGAGCTGTGTAGATGCCCTCTTTGGGCATATGCGGTTATGATAATTGTCCAGGAGACCAGATTCCTTTCTGGCATCTCGTCGAAGATGGCTTTGGTTTCTTGAAGATCGCCATATTGCGCGGAAGCGTCGAGGATTGTGTTCCAGGCGACGAGATCGAATTCGGGCATGCGGTGAAGCAGAAGCTTAGCATTTAAAATATGCCCATTCATGGCATATGCGGTAAGCATTGCGGTCCAGGAGATCATGTTTCGCTGTGGCATTTCGTCAAAGAAGCGCTTGGCGTCCTCGATGCTGCCGCTCTGCGCTGCGGCAGCGAGCAATCCAGTCCACGACACGAGACTGTGTTCGGGCATGGCGGAAATTAAAGCGCGCGCTCCTTGCAAATCTCCCATACCGGCAAATGCTGACAAGGTCGCGTTCCAGGACACAAGATCTCGCTGTGGCATCTGGTGGAAAAGTTCTTGGGCTTCGCTGCCGCAGCCGTGCTGTGAGAATGCAGTGAGCATCGCGTTCCAGGAGACCAAGTTCTTGTCCGGCATCAGATCGAAGGTCTCTCGCGCCTCACGGAGATGCCCGCCGCGGGCATACGCGCAGAGCGCCAGGACCCAGGAGTAGCAATCTGTGAGCGGCATCGCGTGGAAGACGTTGCGCGCTTGGGCGGGGCTGTCGCAGCGGCCATACATCTCGATGAGCTTGTTGGACAGGAAGATGTCGCGCGTGGGGGATTGGGGCGGTAGGCGCGCGGCGCGGGAGTGGAGCTTCTCCGCGGCGGGAAGGGATTTGCAGGCCTGGATGAGGCGCAGGCATTCGTTGCGCTCTTCCATTCACCCATCTTCTTCTTCGTCTACAATGGTTAGGTCTCTCATATTCTCTTTCATTTTCTTCACTCAATGATGCATTGCCACCTCTCGCTAGCGCCGCCTTGGCAGGATTGGAATGGCCGCGCGCTTGGGCGATCCGGCGCTGCTGGATTCCAATTGTTTGGGGTGGAGAGGAGGAAGAAGAATCGATTTGCAGGGAGGATCCAGGCGGTCGTGAAGCGCAGTCCAAAGCGGCTCAAGTATGACACGCCTGGACCTGGCGCTGGCAAGGTTTGTTTGCTCCATTTTGCCGTGGCAAATCCCATCCCATTCTTTCTCTTCTCCAGTCCAAAGAGATTTTCCACCTGGAGATAGATCAGTTTGGATCCAATCTCTGGAAGCTCGACCAGGTCGTCTCGCTGCTACAAGATGGTGGCGTTGGAGTCGTTCCTACAGACACCATGTACGTATCTCTATCTTTCTTCCATGAACTCTAAGAACTTGTCTCTCGATTTTCCAGATACGCGATCGTTTGTGACTTGCACAACCGGGCTGCTATCGAACGCCTCTACAGGTTTGTGAGGTCTCGTTCTTGCAAGGGATTAGTTCTCACTGGAAGCTTGCAGGATCAAGGACATGGATGCAAAGAAGGTAAGATAGCTTTAACTTTCTCGTGTAAAAGAAGAAGATGAAAGGAGTTTTTCTTCTTGATCTTGCGCAGCCATTGAGCATTCTCTGCCGATCGTTCCAAGACATCGACAAGTATACCACGGGCTTCCCTACAAGTTTCTTCCGCGTTGCTCGCCAGTGTCTCCCTGGCCCGGTACGTAAAACTTTCATGCTTTTCCATGGTTTCCTCTTTCCAACGTTGAGGGTGTTCGTCACAGTACACTTTCATCCTCCCCGCCAGCAAAGACATGCCAAAACAGTGCACAAGATTCGGTGGAAGCGTCGCAGCGAGCTACGCCCCTCGAAAGAGCGTCGGTGTTCGCATCCCAGACGATTCGGTGTGGAGAGAAATGGCTGGCCAGCTTGAGCACCCTCTACTTTGCACAAGGTGCTCCATTTCATCTCCTCGAAGTTTATAGCTTGCTTGTGAGTTTACAGCGTTAGGAGACCCGCCGACGATGAATGGATGCTGGATCCAGCGATCATCGCTGACACTTACGGAGTTTCTTCCGGAAGAGAGGTTTGTTTGATTTTCATTTGCTTCTCGTGCAGCTCTCGATGGATCCATGCAGAGTGTCGACTTCATTGTGGACGGTGGAACTCGAGTCGCGAATCCCTCCACCGTGGTGGACATGACAGGAACCATGCCTGTAGTTCTTCGAAGAGGAAAGGTTTGCGAAGTTCTCTTTTTTGAAGTTCATATGAGTGTCGCTAAAACTTTCTTCTTTGATATATTATAGGGAGTCCTGGAAGACTGGATGGTCGGAGATACAGACAGCGAGATTGTGAATCCATACTCGTAGCATATAACTTTCTGATGATCCTCACGGCTGTGAGGTGTCAAACGAATAATTGGAGCCTCCGGAGACAAGGAATCGTTAGAGCTGCGAGCCGCTAGACACCGCTGGTTGCTTGGAACTAGACGCAGGAACTGGTTGTGGAAGAGTTTGGCCATCCATCGGACTGGCTGTTGCTACTGGTGACATTCCTCGAGCTCGCGACGCCGCCAGCATCTCCGTTCTCGCCATCTCCGCGGAGAAGAGCGAGGCTGGGAGAGCTCAAACAGATAAGACGAGCAATAACTGAAAAGCTTCGTACCTCGCTTCCTTCCAACCGCGATGATCTTCTTCAGGCAATCACGGAAGTCCATGAGAATCAGTCGCTCCTGCTCGGCACACAAGCGCATGCTGCTCTGTTCTGGGCTTTGCTCCTTGCACGACGAGCCAAGGTCCTGCTCGTCGCACATAAGAGCTTGCGTTCCCGGCGAGAGCTCGCGCTGGTTCCTAGCCATTGCGGAGGTTGCTTCGGAGTCTCTCGCGGACTCCTCTTGGTCTTTCTCTTCCACATCTCGTTGTCGAGCCTGCTCTCCTTGTTGCGACTTCGTGGATTCTATCACCGGAAATATAAATAACGTTTATACGAGAGTGTGAAAGTGAAAGCAATGCTCACCAAGAAACGTTTTGGCTGTCTCGGCAGAGACAATCACGAGCAACTTGCAAAGCTCCTCCACCACCTCAGGTTGCACAACTCCCGTTAAGAGTGATCTGGAATGTAAAGTATGTAAGAGAGAAGATCACGTAGCTTCTAAGATAATAGGAACTCACCCGCGAATCGACCTTACTGCAGGAGAAGTTTGCAGTCCTGGGCCTCCCAAGGTGGTGCTGAGCAGGCTGTTAGCTGCTCTTAAAGCGTTCACTTGCGCCTGAAAGACCAGAGCTCTTCAACCAGCACTTCTCTCTTAGAAAAAAACAAACAGAGAAACACACGACACAGCGTACCTGCGTCGCTCGAGACGGCTGTTCTTTCAGCGAGTGGCCTATAAATACAAGATCTTGTGTTCTTCTTTTCTTGGCAGCTGTTGGAGACGACGGCGGGCAGCTCAACAATCCAGTTGACGCAGAGGCAGCGCTGCCGCTGCTCGCTGGCGGGGAGAGAAGATCATGAGGCAGTATTCTCCGCTCATCACTGCCATCGAAGTTCCTACAATCCACACATCTGCAGTTCTCCGAGCAGAGTATGTTGGCCTGAAAGCACTCGCAGTACTTCTTTAAACAGCCGGATTTCTTGCACTGGCAACCTTTGTTGTGCCTGGCTACGGTCGCTTGAGGCTCTCGTACAAGTTCCTGGATCAAAGAGAAAACACAGATTAAAAAGTCCGAGACTGAAACGCTTTCTTACCTGGACTCCAGGACTGCTGCCAATCTTCGGTCGAAAAGCATTGGGATTCCGCTCTAGAGCTAGCTCCACAGCTTCCTGCCTTACTTTCTCATTCTCGGAATTGTTCCAGCAATTCAAGCAGTTGCATCCATCGCAATAAACACCAGAAGCAAAGCATTCACAGTACCTGTTTGATCTCAAAAGCTTCTCTTAGTAAGAAAAAACATGCAAAGCTAGCTTACTTACAGCTTTAAACAGCGAGAGTTCTTGCAATTGCACTGCTTGGATTTCTTTGCAAAAGTTTCTCCTTTTTGTGGCTTTCTGTACGAAGAAATTGAGAACCAAAGGAAGGAAAGGAGAAGATCTTACATGGAAGCCGTAAAATCGAGCTGCCTGACGAGTTTTCTCCCGCTTAGCTGCGCCTGCGAAGGTCCGGAAGCTTCAATTCTGGAAAAAACCAAAAGGAAGTTACAGGAACCACAAACGAAGAAAAGAACAAGAAAAAAAATCGCCGGTTACTTTTGAAACAATGGCTGTTCTTGAGTCGTTTGCCAGATCGATTGACCCAATCCTGTAAACAGCGCTCCAAGGAGTGATTTGCTAGAAAGAGGCAGAGCTTACCTTGCTGGGGGTTGTGCTCCTCAGGCTTGTCGCCCGGAGGCTGCTGGAAGGCATCCATAGCGTTTGCTCCAGAAACCTAGGTCAGACACACACAAGGCAAGGGGAAATTTGGCATGGAAGGAGGAATGCGAGGGGCCGATTCGCACGATTACCTCAAGATCAGTGCCTCTCACGCCGGGAGCTCCCCTCCATGCCAAAGATCCAGATTGGGGCAAACAACAAGGGCGCCAAAACGCTAGAACAAGGGCGGGAAGATTAAGCCGCAAAACAAACCAGGGGCGAATATTCGCCCACTAACACACGTCCATGTCTGTGCGCATTTGCCCGGACTGGGCATTTTGGGAATCTTAAGAAATCTTCGCAATGAATGAGCGATGGTTTCTCCAATTAAGCGACCAACTTGCTGTGATCAATCCAATTAACAATGTTGTGAGGCATCCCGGCTAAAGCAAAGATCTTCCATACAATCAACGCGAGTGGAATGGAAGAATTTTATTCTTTGCTTCGATCGTCTAATGGAAGAACTTTTCTTTCTTTGCTTCGATCGTCTAGAGTGGAATGGAAGAACTCTTCTTTTTTACTTCGATCATCTTGAAGAACTTTTCCTACTTTGCTTCGATCGTCTAGAAGAAATCTTATTTCCGCTTGCTCGATTCGTTTCGATCTTCGGGTTTTGGAAAATCTCGGAACTTTTGGTACGTATCTCTCAGATGAGATCCACTCGAGCAGGGATTATTTTAATTGTCCACAGTGACCGAGAGTGGAAGTGGCAGCAGCTATACGCCTAGAGATTGGCATCTCTCCCTCCATCCGTATAGACGATGATGATAGCTTGCCAGCCAAGAACCTGCGCTGCTGCCATTTATCCTGGAACGAAAGCAAAAGCGAAAGCTTAGTTTTTCCAGATAAGCAAAGCAAAGCATCGCACAGAAGCGCGCAGGGGATAGTGTAGCACTGAAGATGAAGGCGATGGCGAGAGAAAGGAGAGAGAGACGAAGAGAGCGATAGCTAAGAAGCCAGGGAAAGGGAGAATATATAAGAGAGTGTGACTTACATCGCTCGTAGAGGTAAGGCTGGTTCCTCCCTCCATCGCCATGCTCCTCCAAGTTCTCTTCTTCGCTTGCTTCCTTCTCTCCGGCGATGCTCTCCCGATCGCCAGTAGCGCCAGGGCCACCTCCACTGCTGCTGTGGATATCGAGGCCTTGAAGGAGCTCAAGGCCGCCATCGATCCTGCCACCATCGCCCCGAGCTCCTGCCTCGCGTCCTGGGATTTCTCGCACGACCCCTGTGCGTCCATCTCCACCAGCTTCTTCGTCTGTGGCTTCCGCTGCAGCAATGGAGCTCACCCAATGCGCATCACGGAGATCACCCTCGACAACGTCGGCTACGCTGGGAGCTTGTCTCCATATCTTGGCAACTTATCCTCGTTGCAGGTCCTCGACGTCTCTGGCAATGCATTCCACGGCTCCATCCCGGAGTCGCTCAGCAATCTCCGGTCCCTGCTCAAGCTGGAGCTCTCCCAAAACTCCATCTCCGGATGGATCCCGCAGTCTCTTGGAAGGCTCGATAAACTCGAGTACTTGTCACTGGCTAGCAACGCCATCGAAGGACTGCTGCCTGCTTCGCTAAACCGGTTGCACAGTCTGGAGAGGCTCGCGGTTTCCAACAACAGGCTGAGCGGTCCCATACCGCTCATGACTGCGATGTCCAGTCTCCTGTACTTCGACGGGAGTACCAACCGGTTCTCTGGCTGGGCGCAGTCGGAGCTACCTCTCTCCTTGATGGTGATCTCGCTTCGAAACAACCAGCTCCAAGGCAGACTCCCAGGGTCTCTCACCAAGTTGGAGCAGCTCGAAGTCCTGGACCTCAGTCACAACGATCTCAGGGGCCCTGTTCCAGCTTCACTCTTCACCTTGCCTTCTCTCCAGCAGCTCAACCTCGCGTACAATCAGTTCGTATCCGTGCTCGCGACGCCGGGCTTGGCAGAATGGGAACAGGTAGCGGACAGCAGCCAGCTGATCGAGATCGACCTGAGCTTCAACAAGTTCCAGGGACGTCTTCCAGTTTTCTTTGTCCAGATGAAGCGGCTCACGGCTCTGTCCCTCGGGCATAACCAGTTCAGCGGGCTCATTCCCATAGAGTACGCGCTCAAAGCTGTCCGGATGCTCATCGGTGCGGAACCACTGATGCGTCTCTACTTGGAATCCAACTTCCTCGCCGGGGAGCTCCCTTCACCATTTCTCAGCATCGTGCCAGGGGAGGTTTCCGGTAGCTTTGTGGGGAACTGCCTTCAAAGGTGTCCCGCGGAGCTATTCTTCTGCCAAGGTGGACAGCAAAGGTCTCCTGCTGAATGCAGCAAATTCTTCGAATCAGCACCGTGATCAACTGAAATGAACAAGAAGCTCCTACTTACTTGTAGTTTATTCACATCAATATCCATTTTGTAGAGTCGTTTTCAGCGCAGAAGCCTGCCATAATTCATACACCAGACGGCATGCAGACCGATGCCATGCCAGAGTCAAGGAATACCAGCTGTCGGTAATAGAGAGCATTCATAAACCAAAACCAAAAACCACCTGCGTGCGAATGAATAATCCATTTAAGTTGTACAAAAAAGCTTACTTGTCTTGCCTTCAAACACCAGACAAACGACCAAGGTAGTGAGCACGACACAAGCAAAGAACCTGGCATACCTGAAAAAAATAGCTCGAGCTTCCGTCCCCGCAAAAAACTTTGTCCTAAAACACAAGCAAACCTGTGCTAGCAATTTAAAAAATAGCACTTTTGTGCTCCAAAGAATGGATGCAGACCTCATGGCTTATTCTGGAGAAGCACCAGTAATGAAAAAAAAAAATCTTCTAACCTACTTCCCGCAAGCGAACCTGTTCGCCATCCCCAAAATAAGTTCTATGCTTGTAAGGATCCCGCCAGCACTCGTCTTCTTTGACAGCATTCCGCCACCGTTGGGAAAAAATATTGAGCTCGGCGAAGGAACGCTTGCGAACCTGTCCAAAACCGTTCTGCATCATCACTTTTAAAATGGAACCAGGAACTCACCTCTGATCTTGCATCGGTTCCAGACCCCAGGCTTGCCTGCAATGTATATTTGATGTTAAAGAACTTGCGAAATACACAGGACGATTCTCATAGAATAGCACATTTGACTTGCTTACCTTACTCTTTGCTGGACCGCCTAAAGAAGGAATGCCTCTGTGAACAATGTACTCGCTGTCGATTACTCCAACGCTCTTGGACCGGTCTCCCTGCCGTAAACGTAGCTGTGAAGCATTGTAAGGAGGGACAGAAGTATACCTTTACACAATAACCAAGCTTGAAGTCCATTCCCCATCCGTGAACCAAGTCGTTCTGAAAAGACGTAGGTTAAGAACCTGAAGCTTATATGTATTAGAGACACACAGACCTGGATGAGGTGCCAGACACATTTCCATGCATCTCGTGTAAAAACAGGGGCCATGCCTTCGACCCAGCTGAAAGGAAAAATTCAGGAAGAGAATGAAGAGCTTTTTGCATACCCTGTACATGGTGGATCTGTGCTGTTCTCAAAACACAATGTCCCAGTCCCTTTGGGCTTTAAACTCCTCCTACAAAAGCGAAGGAAATATTTGAGCCACCAAAGCATTATATATACGTACCTGTGTACCCTGTATCTCTTGCTGCGAATTGTTATACGATGGTGGACTTCCGACGCGTTGGGCTCTAGAGCAGGCTGTGAAATTTCTAGACGCTCGTACTTCATAATGGCCAAATATCTATAGACCAGAGAAGAGAAAACAAGAAACCAAATAAGTTAGCAGAAGACGTGACTCAGGCGCTCACCTATCAACATGAAAATTTTCGACACCGAGATCTTCGTCCCAGACAAAAATGTACTCATACGGATCAACAATATCAGGGTGTAAAAAGCGCTTAGCGAACCACCTGTAGGCAGCCCGTCAAATTGACTCTAGGGCTCTATCGATACGTACCACTTTGTTTGATTTATTGCTACAACATGGATGGCACGACTACTCCAAGGTAACTCGTTCCACTTGTCCACGACACCGTCATAGTGAAACAGCATGATTGTGAAGTTGTGAGCGAGAAACTGCAAAGTTACACGGGGTCAGGACAACATCAGGAAAACGCAATGGATCAACAACAACCTTCTGGACAATTCGGTCCACATAACGCTTCTGCTTTATGCCAGCCGCTACAGCGAGTAGCCCGTTGGGAACCTAAGAAAAGCTTGGCTATTGTTTGATCTCGGTCAATAACAGCACACACTACCTTCTTCCTGGAAACTCTTCCCAGCGGCTGGACCTCGAAGTTCGATGTTTGCTGGACAATTCCTCTCGGTAGTAAATCCTTTCCACTGCGCGGCCGATCCTCGCATGTTTCGAACAGTTCGGCCTGCCAAGCCAAGGATCAGAACATCCACAAGAGACACTCTAAAAGAATAAAAAAACCTGAATTTGAGGCTGTCCTATGACACCGACTCTTCTCCATTTCCAAAAGCTCTGCGAAACAAACAACCATAGCAAAAGAAAACTTGGAGAAAGAAGAAGAGATAGGAAGAACATACCCTTGGAAATGGATCGACGATAAAGTTGCTGAAGATAAAGAGGGTGAACACGAGGAACGATAGCACCAAGAAAATGGACTTGGTTCTACACAATCGAAGGCGTGATTTCCCACACTCATGCTGCATCTTCACGTCGGCCTAGCAACAAAGGCGTCACGTTAGATCGATCGACATTTCGTGTAGCAAGAAAAGAAGGGAAAAAGAAAGCAGAAAACACTACCAAGTCCTCGAAATCTCTATGCTGCGATGAGTAATTCTTTTCCATCTGAGCCTTGGGCGTGCTGCGCAGCTTGCCACCGCCGCTCCCTTTCATGGAATCCGACCAGCATTCCCTAGCGCCGCTGCCACGCCCCTGCTCACGCTGCGATCGCGCACATTCCCTTGCTCCACCACTTCAAATTCGAGCTATCCGTTTGCTCGGCATTATCTGCCCTACATTCGCGGCCGCGAATTCCCCCAAGAAATCAGTGAATCCACCGATGCGCTGCTCGATCTAGCGCATCCCCACTCCCATTCTATTACCCTAATCTACGCGCATCGCCGGCTTTGCGACACCAAAACAAAGGCACTGGAGCTCTCCCGTCTTAAACGAAAACCATAACGAAAAGAACACAGAGCAAAGCGCCCACCCTAGAGTTTCCCCAACACCCCGCGGTCGGGCCAAGAAATGCCGGAGACTTATAAGCCGGGCGCACCGACCACTCTATAACCTCACACACGACGGGACCTTTTTCCTCCGCCGCGATAGAAACGTTTAGCGTTGTCAGCCGACCCGGTCTAAAAATCACCGTGAAAGTCGCTTTTACCTGACACAGCGGTGGGACACGTGGCGAGCGGCGGAAAATGTTGCTGACGGGATTCGAGCGCGAGACCTGGCTGGAAGCTGTCATCGCCGGGAAAGATTCTAGGGCTTATGGCGATGGCGATTATCATCCAGCTGCTCGGCATTACATCCGCGCTGGCGATCGTTGCCGTGTGCCAGTTCCCAATCCCCCGCCGGTACGATGGATTCGCTTTCGGCAGCTATGGCGGCGTCCAGGAGCCGATTCTGGTGGAGGCCTTCTTCGATCCGCTGTGCCCCGATAGCAAGGATTCGTGGCCGGCGATCAAGCAGGTTGCGGAGGAGTATGGCTCGGAAGTGAAATTTATTGTCCATCCCTTTGCGCTTCCGTAAGTAACACTCTTGGTCTCTTGGACGGCAGAGAGATTCTCGTTTGTCTTGTTTCCAAGCATAGGTACCACCACCAGTCGTTCCTTTCGGTGAGAGCGCTCCACATTGCGAATCATCTCAACGCGTCTCTCACGTACCCTTTGTTGGACTTGATCTTCGAGCACCAGGTTGGTTCTCTTATATTTATTTATTTTGTTCTTGTTCTTGATCTCTTTCGAATGTTTCGATGGTGACGAATTGATTAGGAAGAGTTTTCCAACGCGAACACTGGTGACAAAACAGCGTCGACGGTGATCGACGAGTTTTCCAGCCTGTTCGCGTCGCAGTTTGGCAGTGGCAACGAGGCGAAGAGCATTTTCAAGCAGGGATTCTATGACTCCTCCACTGATCAGGCGGGGCGCATCTCTTTCAAGGTAGACAAGAAGCTTTGATTGTCATGGCAAGAAAACTAAAGTCTTCGCGTACCTTTCACGCAGTATGGATGCTCGAGAGGCGTGACAGGCACACCGGTGTTTTTCGTCAATGGTGTTCCTCTCAGCAATGTAGATGCGAGCTGGGGAATCGACGAGTGGGCCAACATTCTCGATCCGCTGCTAGCAACTGGGCCTGGAATGAACGCATTTGGATGAACTAGCACGGTAAGATGTATTGAAGACTACCTTAGAAGATTGGCATATGGACTTCTCTATACTTTCCATTGGTCGAGCATATGGTTCCAGCCTTCTCAAGCTCGTATAGAAGATCCACAAGCTGCTTTTGATCGCAATCCGAGAAGAAGGCAGCAATCTCCAGAAGCGATGCCTGTAAAAAACGCTTGCTTATAGCCACGAATGTAAATCATTCTCGTTACCCCGTCTCTATCTCGAAGAAGATCCATGAGGCCTTGATCCAGTAACACCACCTTGCCTTGCGAAACTCTGAAGAACTCTTTCTTGATCTTCCGCGACTTTTGGAGCTCGGCCGACACAGCACGGAGTGTTTCGAGCTCGTTGGCGGAGTAGCCAGTCTCCGCAGCTGCCACCGCTCTTATATCGTCAAACGAGAAGCCGCGATCGAGCATAGTACTGCATAGCTGGAGCTGTTCTCTCGTCACCTGGAGAGAAAAAACTTGTGAGCGGCGGCACATCAAGAGCAAGAGATCTACCTTGGAGCAGGAACTTGAGATCTTATCGAGATAGACGCCTGTTCTAATCTGGCGAGTCCTTGGCAAATACTTGGACACCTCGTTTGCGGCACTGAGATTGAGATTGACTTCTTTGCACAGCGCTATCCAGTCTACTGGCTTTCCACCATCAATCGCTGCCACAAGGTGGTCCACGACAATCCCTCTGGGAGACTTGATTTTCTCCTGCGAGAAGGAAAACGAACAGCAGTCCTTTCTTGCCACGCAAAAATCTCTACTCACAGCGATAGCATCCAGCGAGAGGCCACCGAATTGCCAGAATTTCCAGACTTCCTCTGAGCTAACGGTGATCGCCTGTTAGCCGCATTATCAAATCCCTTCAAGAAATCCTTCCTACACCCACCTGTTGAGAGCTTCTTCGTGCCAAAGCGACGTTTACACTGCGAGCGCAAGCGCTGCCAATGCTTACTCCAGAGAATCTCCCCGCGCCGGACGGCCATGCCATTCTCCTGGCAATCATCGTCACGGCAGCTCGGATCATCCCCCACCCCAAAACCCTAGCTCATGGTTTTTCAAATATCAATCTTCTAGATCGACGGCGGAATGTTCACTGGAATCGACGGCTGAGATCGCTCCCTGGTAAACCTAACAGAATTTTCTGCTGGCATTCCTTCTTGCTATGGCGGCGGGCGGCGGGCCTCGGGCCGCGAGGGCGAGAGAGCAGCTGTAGAACAATTTAGGGCAGGGAGGTCCCATGAGAGGGCGCCGCGAGAATGCGTGAAACATGGTTCTAGGGCTGAAGAATGCCGCCGAAGAAGAAAGGGAAGAAAGGCAAGAAGGGAAAGAAGAAGAAGAAGGAGCCCAAGCACGACGCTGGCTGGCAAAAGGTATGGAAGCGATCTCCTTCCCTGGTAGAATCTCAGCTTTTGTTGCTTCGCCCAGGCTTTGATCAATGGGAAATGGGAGAGGCCTTTGGAAGCTCTTCCTGACCCTTTCCTCTGGCCGAGCTTTGGCGAGATCCGAGAGAAAATCCTCTTGAGTAGCCATCTGGTAAGAGCGAAAGCATCGGTGCTTGATCGGTCCAATCCAACTTCATCCCGCAGATAAGCATTTTGTGGAGCGGATCTATTCACGACGATTTCATCCTAGAGCTTCTCAAAGTTCCTCGGCCAAACCTGGTGAGCATTCTCCTTGTGATCTTGTCTTATAGATTGTGCTCAAAGCTAAGAGAATCGTTTTTTCACCAGCCAGACTACGCTTGAACTGAGGGGCACCAAATACTTAACAAGATTTGTCATGTCCCCTCCATCAGTGTGCCCGGTGCTGGAAACTCTCGACCTCGCTTGTTGTCCCATCCTAGAGTACGTGCTCATCGAGGTAATGAATGTCTCCTATCATTCATAGCTTTGGATCGATCAAACTTTAACTTTGAATCGATCAAACCTTCCGATCTCTTGGCAGTCGACGAGCCTGGAATCCGTGTCCTTCAAACGCTGCGTTTCTCTCAACAAAGCCCTCTTGAACGCCAAGAAGCTCAAGCAAATCGATCTCCACGAGACCGGTCAGCTGGACTGCTTGATGTTATGGAGTGATGCCATCGAAGAGCTTCACTTCTTCTGCAAGGAGATGACCCAGCTCGAGCTCTGCTGTCCAAAGCTCACAAGAGTGCAAAGACCATCGATCAAGGTACTCGATGGACGTTTCTTGTTCTTCATCTCTTTTCTCTTTTGTTCTTCGTTTTTTCAGGTAATACCACCCTTGTATCCTGTTCATCCGTCAGTTCTAGACATAGTTCGGGTTGACAACGCTCCCAGAGCGAAGGAGTACAGCCATCCTTTTGTGATAGAGGAGTACAAACCTTACGCGAGGAGCCCTTTCATACCTCAGGCGATTTTGCTGTGAGGCTTTTTTTTTTTTTTTGTTTTTTCTTCCTACTTCGTGTTGCTGTGGATAGAAAAAAAACCACTCTTGTTCATGCTTTGCTATTTCCATTTTCCATTTCATGCTATAGATGCCCGCACTGGGATCTTAGCCTCTTCATACCAATCCATCACTTCATCAAGGCTACTATCAGCCATCAGCAGCAGCAATCATACAGCATTCAGACGAGCGGATCACAACAACTAGCTGGGATCCACTTCCGTCGCAATGAGCCAGCATCTTTGAGTACCTTCCATCAACCGGCGGCTTCCAGCTAGCAGGGAGAGACCAGACAACATCTTTAGCAGCCAACATCCCTCTTCATCAACTCCAAACAATCAATGGCCGCCACTAGAAGCTAATAAATCAACTTTGAGGCTATCATCATCATCATCGTTCACTCATCCATCACGACTATTCATCAAAATATTCTTTTCCGCTTCCATCCATTCAGCCCATCACCATCTTCACTCATCACCGCAATTACCATTACCCGGCAACACATCCTCATCCATTTCACTTCCTGTGTGGTGTGCTAGACTTCCACTGGACGGGACGGGGGACAGATTGTGTGCACGAGCCACAGGATGGGCAGCAGATCAAGAAGATGGGCCGAGCACTCTTCCTCCACACCCTTCTTGGTTAAGTGTTTCAACAGCAATAACCATTGCAACTCTTTCATGGTTCACCTGGAAAGCTAAGTGGTACTGGTTTACATTTCAAGGTCCAAAAGTTTCACGGCTGCAAAGCTATAGTCCTTGCTTGATTGTCTTAAAATATCGTTAAACAAATTGAATGACGCAGGATAACAGTCCTGGTGCTGTGATCCGAGATTCAGGAGTATCTGTCAAGCGTCTCCACGGGCCATGCCTCGTTCATCCAAATCCAGTAAGAAATTCTTGATTTTTAGTAATAATATCTTGTCATACATCAAACGACGAGGACAGATTAGAATATTTTAGAATATTCTACATTTATCCATTTAGATTAATTTTGTGTATCCAAGGTTTAACTCTTTCCTGGAAGACGTTTTGTGGCACAATCCCTTAAGCCTGCATGGTTGCAAAGCCAAAAGTGAAAGTTTTCAGGGTGTGGTGATCCTTGCAATAGTTGCCTCAAAACGATTGAAGCAGAGAAAGAAAAGAGGTAAAAAGAAAAAACACCAAATACTCGTGTCCAGCCCCATGTGTCTATTGCACTCTTGGGAACGCAAATGGTAACTAAGCCGTTCCAGAGAGACGCTCTCACCTGCTTCATCTCAGCACTGGAGGGAAGCTTAAACTTTGTTTGTTGGAAGATGGTCTTAATGACGAGTTCCGGCCCTGTATTGTCCACAATCACTTCCTCTCGTGACAAGCCTGATATTGAAGTTTTCAGGGACATACCTGGAACTTTTGACACAAGATGCTTGTTATCTACAATAGTTGCCTTGGGACATTTGCCCGTGGCTGCAGCAGAAAGGGAAAAGAAATTAGCTCGTGAGTGCTGGGAACAGTAATGCAGTATCATCCTTTTGGGCATCATGGGCCTCATTGCTAGCACATGCAACATGGCATTGGGAGACTTCATATCGGTGTGCTCACAAGGTGACACCAAGGTGATTGAGGATGACCCAGTGGTATGGGAGATGAAGGAGCTAGATATCTACTTTTAGTAGAAATAATTTTAGTAAAACTAATAGAGCCATTTAATAAAACTATAAGTTGAAATAACATTACTATCATAGATTAGTAGTAACTTTGTTTCATGGTCAGTCTTGTTGCTATCCCATCATTCATAAGACCACAATAATCAATATGTATTAAAGTAGAGATTCTTGATCACATGATGTGAATATGAAAATTAAGATTATAATTCATTACAAATCATCTATTGGAGATAAGATATTTCGTCCTTGATAACTTTATTTGTGGACTCAACTTTGACTAACCTCAAAGCCATATTTTCATTGCCTTCAGTTTAGCCTAAAAAAAGTTCATAATAGAGCACAATGATGATTATTTGAACCAATATATTAATTTTTATAGTCTCCAACAAAAATCATGCCTAAGAAAGATCCATTAGTGCCATGTATATACTAGCTATTTACTATTTATAGTAATCTTAGAGGATGTAGTAATATAGTAATAACTTATGGTAACCACCAATATGCTACCATCAATTCAAAGTGTAACTTTAAATTGCTCATATGACTCACTCAAGACCTTAATTATAAACTTATACAAATAGTACATATCAAATTCCATCTAATGAGTCCAAGTGAAAGCCATATAATATGGTACAAGATGATATGAAATGGTATATCTTAGAATATTTGTGAAGCTATAGTTGAGATTAATCTTTTCATACCAAATGTAACACATGTAATGAATTATTAGGATAACCATAAAGTGAAATTTAACTGTTTAGGCATGACAAATTTAATATATATGGTTTTTACTATACCTTATAATGAGTTACAACCATAAAGCAGAATTTAACCCTTACACTCATGTATTAAAATTAATGCAAAATTTAAATTTCAAGGTCTTAAACCACTAAATGAAGGGATAGAATTAAATCCCTAAGTGTAAAATGAAGTATAAGATATAAATCTTTAAGTCCCAATACAGATTTAAAAGAAAAATAGTTGAAATAAAAGTTTAATAAGCATAATATGTTTAAACCAAAAGCTCTAACTTGAAAAGTTAAAAGTATAAGTGGAACTCCTGAAGAAACACTTGAGAAAGAAGCATAAAGCAATTAATAAATAAGTTTCAAGAAAAAGATTAAAAAAATGATTAAGTATTATAACATATAATAAATGTCATGAGATATGTTGAATCCAAAGATTTGATGGAATAATCTTGCATCATTAAAAAATCAAGTGTTAAACATATTTAAAGCAAATAGATATATACATAAAAGGTTTGGTAAGCCCTTATAGGATAGGATTTTAAATGGACTAATATGACAAAATATAATTATACCCATTTAATGATAATATAAACATTAGGAATATAAAACTAGAGTAAAAATAGATATGTAAATGGGATAATTTAGTGAAATATTTAAAAACCAACTCTAACTCATTTAAAAGATTAAATAATCAATACTCCCAATACTTATTTGATACCTTATATAGCTCATTAAAGCTTTGCTCTAACCATATATTTAAGATACCAAAGGTGGTAAAATATCAATTTAAAGTCCTTGACTATTGAAAGGAAAAAAAATAATCATTTTGAGTAATTAAGGGTATAGTCATAAAGGTTAATAAGACTTAGTGGATAGGTCTTTAGGCCTTGACATAGTGTTAATAGTGAATATTCCTCCATACTTTAGGGCATTATTGAGAAACATTGAAGGCATTTATGAAATGGATAGTTAACAGACATTATTTTTGGGTGTCTTAAGTGGGATTTAGATACAAGGAGCATTTAGACAAAATATAAAATCATTATAACTTTAAAACCACCTTTTGGGTGATCGTAAGTACCCTGAGTAAGGATTTAGTGAGTGATAGTTAAAGATATGGTTAAATGTTTAAAAAATCTTCATTATATGGTTTCACACTACAGAGAGAGAGTTTTTAGTGTGAGTGGAGTCATATTAAGGCTGGTGCAATTTTCCAATCAAAATTTCCCCCTTATTTCAAGGTTCTTAAATCTCAATGTCTTCTTCCCAATAAGTGTAAGAACTTATGATTTGGTGCAAAAATGAGCAAGCTCTTCATTTTTCTCTCTTGTTTCTCTACGCTGGAGTTTTCAAAGTTGAGTTGCTTGGAGTCCTAACATGCAAGCAACTTGTGTATCACAATTCAATATAGATTCTTTGACAACTGATTCTTTCAGCATATATTGGTTTGTTTCCTTATTGTGTGTGTTTTGCCCCTAACTTTTGTTTGATGTCTGTTGTTGCCATTTTCATGTCCATCTGAGTCTCATGAAAATTATTTTCCTCATCATAGGGCAAATTTCCATCTCTTAGAACTTATTTCCTGAGCATAAGTGAGTTCTCTTAGCCTAATTCATTTCTTTTGACTATCTTTATTGCGTCATCTCTGCATGAACACTTAGATTATCTCCTTGGCCATCATTTGAGCCAAATCGTAAGTAAATCAAGACGTGCTTTTTGCAAAGGAAGCCTTCATCCTCTCTTTGGGGCATCTTTCTCCTTTCATGCCAGATGTGGTTTCGATAGCTAGCAACCATTTAATTTTATTGCTGGTTGATAAACCAGCAATACAGTTAAACAGTATAAAAGTATATTTGGCAGTTCAAGTAGCATTAGAATAGATCTCCAACGTCACAGAGCAAACCATGGTTGCTACCTTCATCCAGGGACTAAAGTTGCTTTCAAAAGGAAGCACATTAAATGCCTTATTGCATTTGCCTATGTAGAGGATGTTAAGAAGGAGTTATTCTTCACCCTCAGTGTCTCTCAAGTTGCCCAAGCACCACCCAATCATCTCATGGAGCACACAGTCACAATAGCAGTTGCCAACTAACCCCAAAACCTGTCAAAGGACAAAATGGCACTCATACTTGAATCTGCAATCACACAATGACCTGCTCAAGTGCCAGCAGCAGCAACAGACTGCCATCTTGGAGGAGCTTAAGGCAATGTGGCTTCAATAACATCAAGTTATGTTGCGAGGCAAATATCCATTTGATTGCACAATGCTACTGCTTTCAACCTGAGTTTCGATCTCCTAGGACTCAACGTGTCCAACTCCACACTTCGGCTATCTCAAGATGGGTACCATTAGCAGCTCCAACAGCTCGCAATTGAGGCACCTCCATCCACAACCAAAGACATCAACACATCAACACTATCAATAAGGAAGCACTCACAGCTATAACTCAAGTTTAGAGGAAGTGAATGGCCCTAGACATCAATGGAGAGCACGACTCAATTGCTCCAAAAGGTCCAAGTCTAGTCATGGCATGCCTTCAAATTGGCATTTGCTGGATCACCTTTAGTTGAAGCTGATTCTTCTCAAAAATTCATAGAATCTTCTCCAGGTTTGACTCCCATGCCTTCATTGCCATCATGTCCTCTCCCAGATGACATTAGGCAATAGCTCCTATTCAGTTCAGTGCAACTTTCTCTTGCCAGATTGATCCCAGGCTTCGGACAGCAGTTGGAAACTATTGCTTGTTCAGGTCATCCTTTGATTCATGCTGGCCAGGAGATACATATCATGGATACCATAGCATCCCCAGGAGCTTTTGTGGCATCTATCACAGATGTTGTCACAGTTGAGGCACCTTGGACTCTAGATCTGGGAACAACAAGATCTCTTTGGCATTGGCTCCAGATCCAGGACAACACATCTATCATCCTCAAGACTTTTGCACATCATACAGTGATCCTGGCCACCAAGTGTCAATCACGGTTCAAAGGATCTCATCTCACATGGATGTCAAGCCTTTCCTCAAGGACTTGTAACTCTGGGACGCTCATGGCACCTTCAAGCAAATGCTGAGATGTGGAATGATGTGAATCAGTGACAACATCAGCAATGCAGAGCTCTACAATATCCATGGCCATCGTTTGATGGGGGGGAAGGTTCTTGCTCCAAGATCAGAGATTCTTAATCCAACATCCACAATTCCTCCTCCTACTCCACCACCAGTACCTGCTCCTTCAGTTATTGTTCCAACTCCAGCTCAACCTCGCACTGTTTTTCCAGCGGAGTTAGCGTCTTCCCTGAGCTCCCATCACTTGACAAATGGAGGTATTCAGCATCCATGCTTTTGATATATCCAGCATTGCTCCAGTTCTATACTGCTAACAGTCAACGCAAGATTCAACCAAGATTCTCGAGATTTACAAAATGCCCAAGGTGGCAGAACTCGACTGGATGGCTTTACCATGGCTCTTCCTTTAGTCAGAGAAGCAGCCAAGCAGCTGTTCATCACTTATCACCAATCTCAACAACACTCTGAGCTCAGCCATGCAGAAAAAGGTGGCAACTTATTAACACCAGTGCCAACTTCCTTTGAGGGCTCAGCTTCCTCACAAGACTCAGCAATATCCAGCGAGATCCAGCTCTGCAGTTTCCCGAGGCGAATGCCCACCAACATCAACCAGGCCCGGAAACTTCGACAGATCCATTCCCGGCCTACTCCAGGACTTCGACCTCCTGGACTCATCACATCAGGCTCAAGCATCTACCTTCACCGCCATCTTTGAGTGGCGAGGCTTCTCTTTTCTCTTTTCAGTTTTTTTTTTTTTTTCCCCTTTCTTCTCTTGATTTCACTCTTTTTCTCTTCCATTCCAGGACATACTTCCTCATGACAACAAGTTCCAGCTTGGGCTTTAGTCACGAGGTGGCGTCAACTCTGATCGTATGGGAGCTCATTCATTCCTCACTTCACTTCATTCCATTCACATCCTTCTCCATTCATATCACATCAGACTCACACAAATCACCCAAGAAGTTCTCAGTGGATGTTTAAGTACACCTTTAGCTCGAAAGCAACTCGCCATAGCTCGCAAGATCGCCAATCTGGACGGAAGAACAAAAGCACAAGGAGCACGAATCGTTACGTACAGATCGTCTTGGCTGTGTTGCCGGCATCAGTTCTACCAGAGTCGGGCATCTTCCTCTTCTTCCCTCCACATACACAGCCAGCGTTTTCGAAAATTTGGAGCTGGATAGGCGAGAAAAAAAGGAGTTAGATTCATGGAATGCAAAGTCACAAACCTGTAGCATGAAGTTGTCATTCGGAGAGACTTGGGGGCTACATTCCCGGAGAGATGCTAATGCCTCTGCCATAATAAAAGAGAAAACATAATAAATAGATATCTCTGGTCACAAGCATACCATCTCGTAGCAAATTCTCCTTTTGCATCAAGTATGCTGTGATCACCGCTGCACTGCAATGAAAAAACACTATAAGCATCAAGAGCACAAGAAAAAGAGAACAGAGTTTGGATCCAAACCTCCGAGAGATTCCAGCGCCACAATGCACCAGGACGATCCCATCCTCCCTCCCCTTCTCAACAAAATCCAGGCACTCTCCCAAGCAAGCGAGCAAGTCCTCCTCCATAGTGTCCTCCAAAAGAAAAACCTTTCTCACTGGCTTTGCCACCGCCGCGTCCTTGCATTTCGCCAGGAGCTCCCGAGCGACGTTCCGGAAGGCCTCGTCGTCGGGCTTGGGCTTGGAGGAATCGAGAAGTGCCTGCTGGAGCTTGCTCAACTTCGGATGATTGCGATTTCTCCGTCTCTCCTTCTTGAGAAGGCGAATGTCGCGCACCTTTTCGAGCGACAAGATGTGCGTCACCCCGCGCTTCTCTCCACACAAGAACATCTCCGCGTCCTCGGCGCTGCCGATGTAGAGGCCATCGCGCACCTTCTTCATTCACCCTAGAAATCAAATAAGGAGGGTTCTTATATGAAAAGGGGGGAGAAGCTAGTGGCCGTCCGATCTTTAAACCCCCACGAACAAAATCCTCGAGCCCTAACCCTAGCCCTAGCAGCGGCCGCCATGGTAGCCTACTCGAGGGAGCCGGAGAATGCAGTGAAGGGTGAGTGAAATTCGCAAGCGCTCTCGTTGACCTCAGCTTGGATTGATCGCAGCTTGCAAGGCGAGAGGCTCCGATCTCCGGGTCCACTTCAAGGTGTGTGTGATTGATTGATCGATCCTTGTGTTCTTGGGCTGAAAGATCTGGGCTTTCTTCGTGTCGCAGAACACCCGCGAGACCGCGCAGGCCATCAAGAAGCTCGAGCTCAGCAAGGCCAAGCGCTATCTGGAGGATGTGATCGCCCACAAGCAGGCGATTCCATTCCGGCGCTTCTGCGGAGGAGTGGGGCGCACTGCCCAGGCGAAATCCCGTCACTCCAATGGCCAGGGGCGCTGGCCAGTGAAGTCCGCGCGATTCCTCCTGGCGCTGCTAAAGAATGCTGAGAGCAACGCTGAGGTAAAAATCCCATCTTTCTTCAGTGAATCAAGGTGATTCTTTCAGGTGAAAGGCTTGGACGCGGATACCCTGTATGTCTCGCACATCCAAGTCAACCAGGCACAGAAGCAGCGCCGGAGGACTTACCGAGCTCATGGCCGGATCAATCGTAAGTGGTGAATTCTATTCCTCTTTGGCTTAGAGGCTTACATCGTTTTGTGCTTGGCAGCTTACATGTCCTCTCCTTGCCACATCGAAGTGATCCTCTCAGAGCACATCGCTCCAGTCAAGGTGACACTACTCGAAACCTCTCGAGCTTTTCTTCGTAGCGTTCTAACTTTTGGTGTGTGGAACCATGGCAGGCTGAGCCGGAAGCCAAGCCCAGGAAGCCAAAGAAAGGCCCGGCTCGTTTGAGGAGCGGCCCATCGACGTAAAAGTCTTGTTTTTGTAGACCCGATATTTCCCGGATCTTGATTCAATCAACTTGGAAGTAAAGTTTTCGTATCGCTCATCCTCGGATATCGTTGAGACTTGGTGAAGGATCCATCGGTGTAGAGGCTGGAGAGCAGCACGTAGGCCTGGGTCGCGCCATCGCCGCAGCTCAGGAGCTTCCTGGCAGCGCTCTCGCCATGGCGAAGGCTCTCGTGTCCCCGACTAGCGCCTAGCAGCGACGTCCACTCCAAGATATCTGGAACAAAAGGCATGCTCGCGATGAGATCTCTGGCTTGATCCAGGTACCCGGCTCGTCCCAGGAGATCCACCATGCAGCAGTAGTGCTGCTTGCCTGGTTGGAGCCCGTGATCCAAGCCCATGGACACGAAATGCGATCGCCCATCGTAGAGCTTCCCCTTTCTGCTACAAGCGACGAGGATCGAGAGGTAGCACGTCTCGTCGGGCGATTCCAGCGCGCCCATCTCGTAGAACACGGCGCACGCCTCGGCGAAGTGCTCGCCGCCCTGGGCCGAATAGGCCCCCAGCATCGCGCTCCAGGAGATGATCCCGCGCTCCGGCATCGTAGCAAAGAGCAGCGCCGCGCGGTCCAGGCGCCCGCTCTGGGCAAATGCGGTGATCATCGCGTTTCTTGTCACGGTGTCGCGCTCCGGCATGCAGTGGAAGGTTTCCTCCGCGCAGTCGATTCGCCGGCACTGTGCATATGCGACTAGCATCGTGCTCCATGACACAACATCGCGCTGTGGCATAGAATCGAAGATGTTCTGGCTAAGCTCCAGATGGCCGTTCTGGGCATATGCTGCAAGCATGGCATTCCAGGTCACTAGATTTTGCTGGGGCATTTTTTCGAATGCGATCTTGGCCTGCTCTACATGCCCGGCATGGGAGTACGCAGTGAGCATTGCCGTGGAGGAGACGAGATCTATCAGCGGCATTCTCGAGAAGGTACGCTTCGCCTCCTCCAGATCCCCAGTCTGGGCATATCCCGAAAGGATGCAGTTAAACGACACGAGATCGCGCTGCGGCATCGCGTTGAAGATCTGCCTCGATTCTGCAATGCGCCCGCGCTGAGCGTAGGCGGCCAGCATCGCAGTAAATGCAACGAGGTTTCGCTCCGGCATCTGATCGAACAAGCTCCTGGCCTGCTCGAGCTCGCCTTGGCGGGCGAGTCCTGCCAGCATCGCCGTGAAAGACACCACATTCCTCTCGGGCATTTCGGAGAAGACTCTCTTCGCTTCCTCCAGCCGGCCTGCTTGGGCATTTGCGGAGAGGATCGCAGTCCAAGACACAAGATTTCTCTCTGGCATGCGATCGAAGAAAGATTTGGCTTGCTCGAATTTTCCCTGCTGGGCGAATCCAGCGACCATGGCCGTCCAGGACACGACATGGCGCTGCGGTACTTGCTCAAACAATCTCTCAGCCTTATGCAGATGCCCACTTTGGGCATATGCTGCAAGCATAGCATTCCACGAAACCATGCTCCGTTCGGGCATCCCTTCGAAGATCTCCTCGGCTCTCTCAAGGCTCTTGCTTTGCGTGTAGGCACTGAGCATTGCATTCCAAGCAACGAGATTGTGCGCGGGCATGCAATCGAAGAGCGACCTCACTTGCTCCTGGCTCCTGTTGTGGGCATAGGCTTGCATCATGAGAACCCACGAGAAGAGATCTCTGGAGGAGCCCAGTGCGTCGAAGACATCGCGCGCGCGGTTGGAGCTGCCGCAATTGCCATACATCTCGATCAGCTTGTTGTGGACGAAGGCATCGTCCGGAGCGATGGTGGGCTGCAGCTGGGAGTGGATTCGCTCCGCCATAGCCAGCGTCTTGCACGAGTAGATGAGCTCGAGGCATTGCTTGCTCATTAGATCGATCGCTGGGCATTATGGGCGCTCTCTTCCAAAGCAATGCTAGATATGAAGCTCTCGTTTGGGAATGGAGCGCGAGGCACTGGCACGGATCATACGCTCTTGTGGCGAATCCAGGAATTTGATCCAGGGGAGGCTGGTTCACGCGCGCATTCTCGAGCAGCAGCTCCTGGATCGCTACCTCGAGAATCTGCTCGTCCAGATGTATGGGAAGTGTGGCAGCCTGGGTGATGCGCGGGCGGTGTTCGAGCAAATCCACGCTCCAAATGCGTTCTCGTGGAGCATCATCATGACTGCGTACGCGCAGAGTGGCGATGTTGGGCAGGCGAAGGAGATCTTCGACCGGATGCCCGATCGCGGCGTTGTTGCCTGGACTTCGCTACTATCAGCAAATGCCCGTAATGGGCATATGGAAGAAGTTAAAGCTATCTTCGCGAGAATGCCAGAGCACAGCTTAGTCGCATGGAATGGAATGATCGCAGCGTTTGGACAGAATATCCAACTTGGAAGAGCGAAAGAATGTTTTGATCGGATGCCTGGAAGGAACGCCTCGTCCTGGAACGCAATCGTCTCGGTATTTGCCCTTCACGGGCAAATCTCCATAGCGCAGCAAGCCTTCGAGCGGATGCCGGAGAGGAACTCCATGGCCTGGAACCCGATCATCCACGCGCTAAATCTACAGGGCGATGTTTTTACCGCAAGGATGGTCTTCGAGAGCCTCCCGGAGTGCTGCAAAGTCTCCTCCTCGACGATGATCTCGGGCTATGCGCAGGCCGGGCATCTCGACCAGGCCAAAGCTCTCTTTGACTCTTTGCCACACCCGGACGAGTACGCTTGCTCCTCGATGCTCCAGGCCTTCGCCAAGGCCGGGGACGTCCTCGGCGCCAGGGAGACCTTCGACAAGATGCCAGAGCGCTGCCGCGACACTCCCTCCTGGAACGCGATGCTGGGGGCGTATGCGCAAAACGGGCTTGGCGAGCGGGCGCTGGAGCTCTTCGCAGCAATGATCCACGACGGGATCGCTCCCAACGAGATGACCTTCTCGACAGTGCTGCATTCTTGCAGCCATCTCGGAAGGTGGCGAGAGGCGATTGCATACTTCCGCTCGCTGAGCGAAGATCACGGACTGGTGCCCGATGTGGAGCTCTACTCGAGCATGATTGACGTCCTGGGCCGGAACGGGAGGATTTGCGAGGCCGAGGAGCTTCTGGCGAGCATGCCCTTTGCTCCAAACCAGGCCGCCTTTGCGTCGCTGCTCGCGGCTTGCCGGCTCTACCAGGACTCGGGGCGGGGATCGCTCGTCGCGGGGAAGTTTGCTCGCCACCTTTGCGAGCAGCCGGCAGTGGAATCCATCGCCGCGGAGCCGTACGTCCAGCTTGCCAACATTTACAGGGGCATGAACGCTCCCTGATCATTCACTGTTCTTGGAGGATCAGCGCATGAGCTTCGTATGCATTGCTTGCAAACTTGCCAAAAGTGGTGCGTGCGTTTGCTCCACTCCGCCGTGATCATTTGACAGTGCGGGCGATCGACCGAACCTCTCCAGAGGGATCCGACCACGCATTGCTTGCAAACTTATCAAGATACGAAGGGGGATCTTTAAATTATCTCTGTCTCGCCGCAAGGATGCACTCCTGACAAAAAGGCGCCTCCCGGTGTCAAACTTGGAGCGCAATCCACCCACAAAAGGAAAAGCGCCATGGATTCACCATCTGGATCCGATTCGATGCGCGCCAGGACGAAATCGGAGAGTCAATCAAGTGAAGCGTACAAGAGAAATGCGCTTTTAAAACTTATTCTTGGCTTGGGAGAATTGGAGCAAAGTCGCAACTGTGAGAGAGATAGAGAGAGAGAGAGAGAGAGAGAGAAAATTAAGGGTTTGGCAGACCAGCCAACCAACGCAAATCAGATCAGAGAAACCAACTTTGAGAATTTGGCTCACGTCTGGCCTGCCAATCAACAGGATACTTCGTGGGCTCAAATAAATCCCGAGGAGTAGAAAAAAACGACACAAGTAAGAAAAAAAAAGGAAGAAAAATTTGGCAGTGGAAACAATCATAGTCAGTGGGATTTGGGATCACAAAGCATTTGCTCATAGAGAAGTTAAAAATAAAAAAATAAAAAAATCCCACATTTTGATCATCTAAAACATGCGCTAAGAAAAAAAAGCTCTCTAGCTCTATGCGCTATAGCTCAGTCGTTAGACGGCTCCTCTCCTAGAGTGGAAAGCAAGCTATACAATCTAGAAGAGGGAAGCGTTGCCTTTTTTGCCAAGCTCCTACTGCTGGTCGTTGTCCTGGGAAGAGAATCTTGATCTTCCGTCCGGCTGGAGAAATCAGCTGGGAAAGTTGTGGTCGCGGTCCCGTTGGAAAGTCTGGAACTTCGACTGCTTTTGCGCTCGACTTCTAGCTTTGCTCCAGAAAGCCATGACGGATTTGCTGAGCTTGTGCAAGAGCTCCGCCCAGGCCGACAATGCCAAGGCCCTGGCTGCTTCCAAAAGCCACAGCGAAGCTGAGAGGCGGCGGCGGGAGCGGATCAACAAGCACCTGTCCACCTTGCGAACGCTGCTCCCCAACACCGCCAAGGTAGAGTGAAGCTCTGCTCGCTCGCGTCTTTCTTCTTTGATTGCCTGTCCTGTGATTGAGTCGTCGCCGTCGTGCCAAACTCTTCCCAGACTGACAAGGCGTCCCTGCTGGCGGAAGTGATCGAGCGCATCAAGGAGCTCAAGCAGCAGGTCGCGGAGATTTCCCAGTTTGGCCCCGTTCCCAGCGACGCCGACGAGCTCGACGTTGACGTGATGGAATCGCCGGTAGACGAGGGTGGGAAGGTGTTGATCAAGGCCAGCATTTGTTGCGCCGATCGGCCCAGCCTGCTCACGGACCTCGTCCGGACGCTCAAGAGCTTGCACCTACGGACTGTCAAGGCGGAGATGGCCACCATGGAAGGCCGGACCAAGAACGTCTTTGTCATGACCATCAAGGACGATGCCGAGCTGCTGGAGCCAACCTTGGCCTGCGTCGAGGAGGCGCTTAAGTCGGTCATGGAAGAGCCATCCTCGAAAGAGAACCAGGATGATGCTTGAAAAAAGGAACTCTTTTCTTTTCTTTGATCTAAGAGCTTTTCGCAGCACCTGCAACAAAGGAAGCGTAAGTCAATCGTCTGTAAACAGAAAAAAACCAAGGAACCTTTTAACCATTGTGGGAGCAGGTGGTACTACGGAAAATGAAAGAATCTGTTAGAAATCTTTGATTTTCAATGAAATTAGATGTGCTCTTTCAATGAATAAATTAGAGCCTATCACGTATAATCTCGTTGGAGACAAAGAGCGAGGCGCGGTCTGTATCTCGCAATTCTTTGTTTGATCTCTTCTCTCGATCTGTCATATACGAGGCAGACGTCGTTAAAACACATACAGCCAAGCGCTAGCCTACCTCTTCCTCACGTTCTTAAAATGAGAAATGTGTTGTTCCAGCAATTCACCTGTTGAAACTTTTTCTACGGGAAAGTCTGACTTCATCTGGAAAAGAAAAACACAATGAGAAATATTGTCAACACTAGCCGCTCAGGATCACTCACCACTTCGTCAGGAACATCTCCGTCCTCTTCCGACGGTTCTACCCTCTCAACCTCGGCAGCAGACAGCGGTCTAGGCAGCGGTACCACGCAATCCCAGCACCCCATCTGTGGCACAAGTCCTTATTAAGATTTCACATCGCTGTTCCATTCACATACCTGATCTTTTCTAGGAACATCGTTCCTTACCCATCGACGACAAAGAGAATACAGAGACGACTTATCGGCCTCGGACACAAGTCTAACCTGAACATATGAATGTCATGTGAAAGCCAGCAATGAACAGAGCTTACCTTTCTATCATTTATGATCACGGAAAGGGCATCCGGACGGTCCCTGCAAGCAAACACCGGTAAGTAAGAAAATCTCGAGGAGAACACGACCAGACACACCTGCCATGGGACTCGCCAGGAGTCATAGAGCTTGAGCCACCACCCTGCCGAAAAAGAAAATTTCAAGCTTAGAGGAAACAAAGTATCCAAAGACAAACCTGTCCAGTCGGCGGAAGCCAAGATGGAGATTTCCCAAGAACGGAACCATTGCTCGCCCCGCCAACTCTAAAGTGATGAACTCCTTGCAACTTGTGAGGCTGTGGACTCGCGGAAGCGGACATAACACCCCCGGCCGCCTGTCCAGCGTTGACGTACCGAGGCGAGGAAACCGGGTGTGGAATTCTCTGGACCTGTGTGCCCTGCTGGGACTTGGACGCTGCCCCTACCGGTTGAGGAGGCCTGGGAGTAGTAGCACCACCTGGTTGCATAGCTGGCATGGGAAGGATTGGATGAGGCTGGCGTAGATGGTGCGAGCCACTGGCGGCGGCGGCGGCGGCCATTTGAGCCTGCGAGAAGAAAGCCGTGGCATACGGTCTCTGCTGCTGGAACTTCTGGAGATGGAGGAACTGACCAGGAGCGGCGGCGGCGCCAGAAGCTTGAGCTGTGGTTGGCGGCGCCGTGGTCATATGCCGGACCACCACCGCCGCCCCTTTGGCCGCCCTCCCCTGCGAAGAAGAGGGTGGCGCGTGTGGATATGGCGCCTGTTGATTCGGCACGCACACTATCCGCTGCTGCTGTGGTATGTGAGGCTGCCTTTGCTGTGCTACCGGAAGAACCAGAGGCGGCGGCGCCGCCATCGTCGATGCCGCTGGAACCGGCACAGCCGCGGCCTGGGAGCTGGAATTCGTGGCCTCCCCGCCACCGCCATTAGAGTTGGGGGCGATCTCGGCGGCTGCCGGCGCGTTGCTCTCCGAGGATGACAAAACCCTAGCCATGGCTGCGGGAGGCGCGCAATCCGGATCGGCTGTGACGCAGCTACTACTGATGCTTGCGCTACTGGTCGTGCTACCGCTTACCACCGCGACCGCTCCTCCGCTGCTCTCCATCCCACAGCATCCCTTAAAACCCTAGTACCGCCTAGTAACTTAGGGCTCTCACTTTCAAATTTTCAAAGTGGGAGATGCCCGCGTTAATACGTGGCGCGCATCCGACGGCCGAGACCCGCCAGCGATCTAACGGCTGGGATTTGAAATAATTCCCGCGAAAAATTTATATGTACAAGTCTAGATCTTTACAATGGTCGGAGCTTCTCTCTCTCCGCGCTTAGGATGTTTTGGAGCTTGATTTGCTGCGCCAGCCGCGATGCCTCGTCCTTGGTGTAGAAATACTTGGCGAGCTCGTCGTCAGAGATGGGCTGATCGTCGCCGCCTGGAGCAAGATCGGCGATGAGCGACTCGTAGTATCCCTGCTCGATCTGATCCCGAGTTACTCCACGCAGGAGAAGGCTCTCGATCGTCATGTCCTCGCAATCCAGTCCGCCCTCCGGTCGATCTTTATCCACAGGCATTCCTCTGGCCAGGGATCGCTTCGCGCTGGCAATGCGTTGAGTAGCAAGCTCCGCCTTGACGACCCTCGCACACCGCGAGCTCCTGCTCGCGATGAAAGACACGGGGAGAACCGGGCTCTCCTCTGGCAAATGCCTCAGCTTCTTGTTCTTCGAGTGGCTTTGATCCTCATCTTGTACCCGATCGATGGCACTGGAGTCCTCTCGCCTCCTCGTCTTACCCAGCTTGAGGCTCGTCTCCAAGTAGCGCAGCATGAAGCACAAGTGGCACGATATGTTCTTGGTGGTCACGACCGTCTTGCACCACGGGAACGTCTTCATGGTGCTGACGAGCGCCTCCTGGATCTCGCGGAAGCGCTTCATGGACGTAGCCACCGGCGAGTGCAGCTCGCTCGAGACCTCCTCCAGGCCAATCTCGATCCTGTTCGCGTCCGCCACGATAACCAGCGCGGCCGCGGCAGCGGGGAGCGCGTGACGCCCGGTGCTCACGAACCAAGTCGCCATCCACTCGAGAAGAACCCGGCACTGCCCGATGATCTTCCTCGCGGCATCCCTGCTTAGCTTCGAGAATCCAGCGTGCGTGAGAACCAGGCGCTCGAGGAAGACGATGGGATCCTCCTGCGGCAGCGCCATGGCAAACTCCCTGACAAGCTTGCCAAGAACTCGCCCGAGCTCGCGAACGCCACAGTCGCTCGCGTAGGCCACCTCCACCAGCGTCAGTGGAAGCCTGTGATTCCTCACCACCACATAGGCGCAAGCGCCCACTAGAGCATCGAACCATCTCCCAGACCCCCAGTCTCCATTCGTCGCGCGATCCACCATAGCCTCCACCTCGTCGGCGTCGTTGGGCTGGAGCCTCAGCGCCGCCGCCACGTCCCGGATCCGCCGCAGCGCATCCTGCTTCTTCTTCGCGAAATACTGATCACTGCCACCGTTGCGATAGAGGAATCGCTTGCCGGGGAGAGCTCCGATCCCTTCGCCGGCTACGAGAGTTCCCCCGCGCTCACCGACGAGCCCTACCTGGTGATCGGAGCCCAGGGCGTCGTCGTCCACGACCACGCCGCATTCGCAGCAGCAAAAGAGGCCGGAGAGCGGATCGGTCGTGACGGTGCCGGCGCGCCCACAGGCGCTACAATCCTCCGCCATGGCCCAAGAACCCTAGAACACCACGCTAGAACCCTAAAAACAGCATGGATGATCCGCCAAAAATCTGTTAGGATTCGTTTAGATTGGAATGTTCAATGCTGGCTCGGCCACAAAGAATGCCTCCACGCAGCATCGCCCCTCCACGATCCCCTTGCACTCCGGCAGCCATCGCCAAGCCCTCGTCGCAAGATCCAGCGCGCACACGAGCACGCCATCGTAGCTCAAGACAAAGATCCAGGAGCCGCGCCCGGCGCATCGGAAGGAATCTCTCCCAGCCCCGCCATCCAGAAAGCAGCAGCACAGCTCCCGCGGCATCTCTTCCACAAGATCCCACGATGGGGCCTCCTTGCCGAGCTTCCAGATCCGGATTGCCTCGCCCAGCGCGGCGACGAGATGAACCTCCTCGCCGCACGACACCAGATTGGAGCTCGCGATCCCGGCGGGGAGAGGGATCTGGGTCTTGCTCCACTCGCCGCGGGCAAAATCGAACGCCAGGAGCCGGCAGCGCGGGATCAAGCACGTCACGTAGAGGAATCCGGCGCTCACCACGCCTTCGCTCTCGAGATCCAGCACGTCGATGGGCAGATCCCCCTTGCGCGCCCACGCTGAGGGTGTGGTCGAATCAAACACAAAGGTCCTCTGATCGCTCCACCCGCCCGGCCCCGCGACGAGGATCTTGTACCCGCCCTTTTGATCGATCTGGATGGCCGTGAGCAGCGGCAGCAGCCGCGAGCAGCCAGGGATCTCCGGCAGCAGCCTCCACGATCTGGTGAGAGGATTGCACGCTATGATCCGCGACGCGGCGGTGAGGCACAGCAGCCCTCCGCCAGACGCCACGACCGAGACCTCCATCTCCATCCCAAAGATTGGATCCAAAGAGAGAGGCTGCCAGCAGCCGCTCACGGGGCTGAGCGCCGCTATCACGGCGGCGCCGCCCGGCCCCGTGGCGGTGAAAAAGAGGAAGAAGGACGAATCCCCGCCGCCGCCGCCGCCGGCGGATCGATCCATCCGGGCGCACAGATTGATGAAGCCCTGCGAGAGGATCAACAGGCTCCACTCCTTGGACACGGCGCGCATTTGCAGCAATCTGGGCAGCGGCACCAGCGTGAGAACGCGCTCGATCAGCGCATCCGGGAGATCTTTCCACACGGCGGCGCTCGCCTCCTCCTCCATCGCCGCCGCTGGCCGGCCAGCGGGCGAGAAGGGTATCAAAGATTCTACCACGCCCTTTTTGAATTCTAGGGCTCCCGCGCAAAAAGAATGAGAATGACGGCCGGTAAGATAAAACCTAAAGATCCCGAGATTCCCGCGATTTTAGCGGCGGCCACTTGGACACCATTCCATGGAGGAAGAAAGATTTCCAAGGTCCTTGGAAGGAATCCTTTCTTTTCTTTCTTCCCGCTAAAGGCACTGGAAGCTTCGCCCGGTGGGCTTTCGAATCCCCCTATCGGCCATAGCCTTCCGTACCGTGGCCACGTCCTCCCACCGCCGCGCCGCCGCGTACAAATTGGCCAGCAGCACGTACGGCGCGGCGCTCTCGGCCTGGAGCTTGAGTACGGCGCCCACCGTGTCTTGGGCCCGGGGCATATCCCCCTGGATCTTGCAAGATCCCAGCAAGGAGTTCCACGCCGCCACGTCGGGCTCGTACGGAAGCCCCTTGACCACTCTCTCGGCTAGCTCGAGCTGCCCGATCCGGCCCAGGAGATCCACCACGCAAACGTAGTGCTCGATCGCCGGGATGAGCCCGTGATCCATGCCCATTCTCACGAAGTAGCTCCAGCCGAGATTGCGAGTGCCCGAGTGAGAGCACGCTTGCAGGATCTCGATGTATGTGAACTTGTCCGGGAGAGATCCGTGGAGCTGCATCTGGTGGACGAGATCCAGGCTCTCGGGCAGATGCCCGTGCTGTGCATACGCTGCGATCATCGCATTCCACGATGCTACCGTGCGCTTGTGCGAGGCATTGAAGAGCGCGCTCGCCTCGGCGAGGCTGCCGCACCGCCCGTATAGATTGAGCAGCGCCGCCACCACCGCCGGGAAGATCACGTCGTGCAGCCCCTCGAGCTTGCGGTGGATCGCCCGGCCCGCGACGAGCTCGCCGAGACAGGTACACGAGTTCACGGCGTTGACGATGGTGGCCGGCGATGGCTGGAGGGAATGACCTTCCATCTCTTCCAAGAGCTCGATCGCCTCCTCGTAGCACTCGTTCTCCACCAGCGCAGCGCTCATGGCGGCGAATGCCACCGCGTCTTTGGCTGGAATCGACGCGAACGCCGCCGCGGCGAGCTCGATCCGGCCGAAGCTACCATACATCGCCACCAGCGCTGTTCCAAGCGTCAGCCTTGCGGAATCGCTCGGATTCTCGCTCGATACCCGTTGATGCATCGCTCGCAGCTCCTCCAGCGAGCTACACGAGGAGATTCCACTGGCGAGGGCCGCGGTATCCGGAAGAACTCCCTCCGCCTCCATCGTTTGGAAGAGCTCTAGTCCTAGCGCCAGATACCCTTTCTGGGCATATGCCGCGATCATGGCAGTCCAAGTCACAACGTTCCTTTCGCCGTGGCTCTCGAATGCCCGTCTCGCGTCGTCCAAGCTCCCGCATTTTGAGAACATAGTGATCAATCCCGTGAGGATCTCATCGCGGCGATGGTAGCCGCAGTGGATCACCAGGCTGTGGATGTTTCGAGCGTCTTTTAGATCAAGCGATCCGAGCCTGGAGCACGCCTCGATCCGGATTATAAACGTCTGCGCGTTGGGCTTGGCGCCCTCGTGATCCATCTCGTGGGCGGCCTCTCGGAAGCGGCGATCGCTGCCGTTTTCCACACACGCGGCGAGGATCGAGTTCCAGGCCACGGTGTCGTGAACTGGGAGACCATCGAAGACACGTCGTGATTCTTCCAGGCAGAGGAAGCTCGAGTAGGCATTGATCAATGCCGTGCATGCGACTACGTCCGAATCAAAGCGGCAGTCTACAATGCAAGTGTGGATCTGGCGGACTTGGGCGACGCTGGAACACGCAGAGAGGATAATCGCAAAAGTGGGAACGCTGGGTTGGATTCCCTCGAGATCCATGACCAAGAACAGCTCCATCGCTTGGTGGATTTGCCCAGTTTTGGCAATTGCCGTGATGAGAGCAGTCCAGGCCACAACATCTTTGCCTATGATCCGATCAAACATCGCTTGCGAGCTTTCGATGCAGCCACACTTGGCATACATGTAGACCAGCGCATTTTGTATCGACACAGCGTTTTCAAACCCAAGAGCAAGGATTCGTCTATGGATTACTGTCCCTTGGCTTAGATCTTCTAGTTGCGTGCACGCAGAGACTAACCCCACAAATGTGAAGAAATCGGGCTTCACTCCCTCCAAATCCAACTGAAAGAAACAGCAAATCGCCCTTTGACATCCAAGATACCCGCTATGGGCATATGCTGTTAGCAGCGCATTCCAAGATGCAACATCCTTTTCCACAATCACATCAAAGCTTGCTCTTGAGTGATCAAGCATGAAGAGCTTTCCGTACATGGTAATCAAAGCCGTTCCTACGTAAACATCGGACTCAAGTTCAGTTTCGATCACACATGCATGGATTTCCATCCCGAGCTCGGCAAAACCGCGACCTTGGGCTGACGAGCAAGCACGGATCGCTGTAGCGTACGTGAACCCATCGGGAAGAACCTCTCCCTCGATCACCATCTCCAGAAAAAGCCGCAGCGTGAGAAAAAAGTCCCCATTCCGGGCATACGCTGCGAGGAGGATGTTCCAGGAGAAAACATTCCGCGCGCTGATCCGATCAAACACGGCCCGCGCGCTGTCCATGCCGCAGCAGTTTCCATACATCTGGACAACAAGATTTCCCAGAAATGTACTGCAATCCAGCAGCCCGGAGCACGAGATCTGCGAGTGGAGCCGAGCGGCAGCGTCCATGTCCCTGCATTGCCGCGCGAGTGCTGCAAACGCGTTCTCTTGCTGGTGCCGCAGTGACAGGGCACTCCATCTGATCCCCTGTCGCCCAGCCAGGGCGATTCAAATGTAGCAATCATCCACGGATCCAATTCCTTCTTTCGATGCAAGAGAACCAAGCATCTTATATGTTCGCTGCATATGCCCTCATCGGGCATCTAGAGACTCGTATATGCCCAGAATAGGCATTTGTAAGAGAGCTCCGTGTTTGATGGAAAGATCATGTTTGTGCTTTGACGAAAGCCATGACGAACTAGCTTCACGATTCCTTTAGTTTAAGCTAAAAATCGCTATTTTTGCCGGAAGCAACACGGAAAGGAAACCGCGTGAGATTGCCGTGTTCTAGAAGAGGACAATTTGACCCTTTACAGTTTGTCCAAGTTTCTAGACGAATCGGTTTCCTGGACCAAGCTTTCAAACGGCGGCGGGAGCAAAACAAAGCTTGGACTTCGGCTTCGGCACAACTGCAGGGATTTCTTTTCGCCATGGCTGCGCCAATCGATCAAGCCGAGCTGCGCCGCGCCTTCGACATGTTTGATTCCAACCGCGACGGCATGATCTCCAGGCAGGAGCTCCGGGAGATTGGCGACAAGCTGGGGATGCGGTGGAGCGACGAGGAGACCAGCTCAATGCTGGAGTCCGTGGACGAGAATGGGGATGGTCTGGTGGATTTTGGCGAATTCAACGCCCTCTACTCGCAACACATCCAGGGCGAGGAGATCCAGGCGGCGGAGGAAGCGCGGATCAAGGCCGAGCTCCAGGAGGCGTTTGAGGTGTTTGACAAGAACAAGGACGGATTTATCACGGCGCTGGAGCTCCACTCCGTGCTTTGCAGCCTCGGCCTCAAGCACGGAAGCGATATGGTCCACGTCAAGAACATGATCTCCAGCGTAGATGCCGATGGCGACCACAAGGTGAACTTTAAGGAGTTTAGAACCATGATGTCCAAGGCCCTGGCCATGTAACAGTAAGAACAGTGGATATGCGTGACAAAACAAGTTTGTGTGTCTCGATTTGATGGAAACCGTTTCGAGAAACTAGCAGCAGCAACTTACGAAGCTAGGATAGATTTTTAGTAGCACTGCGTGTGCCTGGCTCGAGCTCTTGTTTCGATCCATCTCACACCTTGTCATCGTGGAACCACCACCTCGTGTCTTTGGGCGATCGCCCGTTGCGGCAGTTCCGGACGTAGCGATCGTTATCCGGTGGCCTCATCTGGATCAAAGCGGATGTGAGATGAGATGCGCGAGGGAAGGAAACAAGTTACTAGAAACCTTGACTGTGGAGCTCGAGAGCATCGAGAGGATGCTGATGCAGATGGAGCTGACGGTCATGGCTGGCGACCACGAATCATAGAGAATATCTGGGAGAAGAACACACACAAAAGAAATGAAAAGTTTGAGTCAATCATCCATCAAGATCTATCAAGGCTGGAGAGAAGAAAGGTTCACCTAAGCAAATGTGCCCGTTGCTGTAGACATGGGGATGAAAGGGAGGATTGTGGATGAAGATAACCTGCCAATCGGATCAGCAAAAGCTATGCGAGAAGGAAAAAGAAAAAAAAAACGTTTTTTTTTCACGTACTTGAGGAGCTTCCATGGGATAGTGCTCGGGGAAATCCACTTGCAGCTGGAATTGCTCATTTGCGTAGAGCGTGCCAGGTGCTCCACTCACTTCAATGATCCACCTGGATCCAAATCGAATCAACCAAAAGCACAGGAATCAAACACACAGCTCGTCCAAAACGAGAAAAACAAAAACGAAACTATTACACACCTTTGGAGATTATCGGTCGGCCTGTGCTTGAATCCGGCAGGGGGATTGTTCTCCCACTCCTTAAGCTCCTTGTGCAATCGGTTCGTGGCAATCTTGCTGAGAGCCTGGGCGCGAGAGAGGGGGGGACGAAGCAGGAGAAACCACAGACCTAAATCCCGCAATGCGAGAATTCTCACCTTCTGAGGTACCGATGTGCTCATGATGCCCAGCAAAATGCCCGCGATTGCCCTGCGATTGCCGATCGGGCGCCCCAAAACATGCTCGCGAGACAAACCAAGGAGACAAAAACAAGGGTTTTCCCGGCCGGGAATATGCCACAGCTATTCCCGCGGACCCGTACACCAGATCCGACGGCCCAGATCCGCAGCCGCCGTACGGGCGATCTAGCGGCACATTCGAATCCGGTGGTGCATATTCTACGCATCTGATCCCTTTTGGCTATGGTATAAGAGGTCACAGAGGGAGGTAAGAGCGCAGATAAGAGAAATGGAGAGGATGATGAGCAGCGACGATCAATTGTTTGAGCTAGAAAGGGGCGTCGCAGCGAAGATCCGGGCGATGATCCGGCGGATGGAGGCGAGCAATGTCGATTCCACGGCGATCAAGCAGAGGGCGCGGGGGCAATTGCCTTCCAAGGTACTGAGCGTCATGAGCGGCAGGAGGCAAGCCCAAAATCTCGGCTCTAGCGCGGCGGATGTGGAGCAAGTTAGCGTAGATTCGGCCAGCCTCCTCTATTTCATGCTCCTGGCCGCAGCCGATCAAGAACAATAGCAAACACCAAAACAACTGGGTCGATCTAGAATCTCTTGAAGAGAATATGGTGGTGATCAAGGACCTCGACCCTTAGAATCTAAAACCTATAATTTTTCGTACCAAATGCTTGTCAACGTGAATAAAAGGCTTTATTGCAAACACAAAACTTATTATCTCGTCTATAATGCTTATTACTAGGAGCAAACATCTGTTTGCTTTTCTTGAAAGTGATGGAATCCCCGTAGCTTCAATAAAACCACTTGAAATCATTGGAATCCTCCGCGAGTGGAGCACCCCATTGTTCCATCGCCAAATTCTTTACGCAAGCGCGTGCCAATTATTGGTATGTTGATTACGATAGGAAATGAATTTACATAATGGAGAAGCGTCCTGTAGAACTTGGATCATTCACGCTGTTGGTTTGTCTACGCACGAAGTTAAAACACACACTTGAGTATACGCAACAAAGAGGGAAGAATGCGTTTCTTACTGATTGGCTTCACCACATTCTCTGTTTCCGTTGGTGGATTCCAGAGGATGGTCGTCTCCGCGATCATCGAGGTCACAACGTAGGGGTCCATGTTTGATGCTGGACGACGGTCCTCAAAGTAACCTGCATAGATACAAGAGTTTAGCTTGATCACAATGAACAGAGATGATACACACACCTTTTCCTTCCTTTTCGGTGTCACGGCCAACGCGAACCGATGCTCCACGGTTGGCCACACCCTGAGGAAATGAAAAAACAATCGAGGGAAGCATTGAGCAAAGTCTCTTCTTTTTTGTGTGGTGTGGAAGACTTACCCAGGAGAAGGTATGAATGTCTGCCGTCTCGTGCCTGCCAGTCAAGCGCCGCTCGTTGCCTTCTCCATAAGCAGCAATGTGGTCCTTGTGTTTCAAGCCAAGCTTGCCGATGGCCTTCTTGATAAGCTCGTAGCCACCCTCTTCTCTCATCCTCTTGGTGCTGTTGATGGTATGTTAGTTGCCATGGCAGAAACATGAAGCAAAGAATCATACCTGTAGTTTGTGTGACATCCGGCACCATTCCAGTCACCCTGGCACGAGAACAATCGTCAACCACACCTCTTTTCCTTAAAGCTTTTCTCACCTCGATTGGCTTCGGATCAAAGGAAAGCACGACATTAGCAATCTCGGTGATTCGCTGCATGGAAAACATCAGCTGAATGATCTCCACTATATTGATCACAGTTTTACCTCCAGAATGTATCTCGCGGCCCAGAGCTGGTCGCCAGCAGAGATCCCAACCACGGGCCCGACTTGAAACTCCCACTGCAAAACCAGGAACAAGAGGAGGAAAATGAGAGAGTGCTTCTTAGAGAAGGAAAACCAATACAAACCTGTCCCGGCATGACTTCTCCATTGATGCCACTGATCTGGATACCAGCGTAGATGCAAGCTTTGTAATGAGCATTCACAATGTCTCTCCCCCAAGCTTTCTCCGCTCCAGTTCCGCAATAGTATGGTCCCTGTTGGCGTGCGTAAGAAACGAAGACTTTTGCAGCGAGCCAAGTCAAATGTATACCTGCGGGCCAGGATAGCCGCCAAGCGGCCATCCTAGTGGCCACTTGACTTCCTTCTGGAGCAATGTATACTCTTGCTCGATTCCATACCTGTCACAGTTCGCAAATTCACATTCCAGTTAGACAAAAAAAAAAGGAAAGGATTCATTCACGCTTTGCAACTTCATGCACGCCACTACTAAGATCACGAGAACTTACCAAGGGACTTCATCAATGACAGCCTTTTGGTTGAAAATCTCCGCGGCTTTCGCACGCTTGTTCGTGGGGAGCGCGACTCCCTTTGGTGTGTAAGTGTCGCAGATAACCTTGGCAAGAGAAACAAAACCAGGATTATGGATACGAGGGACGAAGGATCCAAAGAAATTACCAAGATGTTGTGTCCTCCCCGGAAAGGATCCTTGAAAATCGCCTGGGGGCTTTCAAAGTTCGTTCGTTCACACAGGAACGCCAGTGATCATAGTATCAATCACAAAGAAATAGAGGGAACTTACTATAGAATGACCTCACTATCCTCGCCTGGGGCCTGTCCGGTGCTGGAGCCATCGTAGTTCCACTTGGGGAGCTGCTTGGGATCGGTAATCGGTCCCTTGAGAGTCTGTGGAAACGAAGCAAAATCCGTGAGAAATCCTGGCAATGCACGCGCAGGGATTACATACTCGGCCCTTGCTCCGGATGTCCGTCCCCGACCCTCCAATCCTGCGCCATGCCAATCAATCGGGGCTTTCAATCAAGAACATCTTCCATACCATATGTACTCGGCGATGATCTGATTCGTGTCAGAGATGTCGAGGTTGAGCAGATCGTTGAGAGACGACATCCTTGGAGTCGCGCGCCGCGCCGGCGAGGTGAAGAACAAGCTCCCGGATCGCAGTCTCGCAGCGCCAAACAAAACCTGATTTAAAGCCGGCCCTCGAGTCCGGCCACTAGAAAATCTCCGGAATTGCGCCCCCGGCCGTACGCGGGGCCCAAACGGACGCTCCGGATTGGGCCGTACGCCTCCGCCCAACCACACCCTCTCCTTGCAATCCATCCGCCAACCACACGTTCGTGTGTGCTTGGATGGGTTTGACTTTTTAGTGTGGCCCGGTTAGTCAAACCGTTGAATTCGAATGTTTGACAAGCGCGCACCTAAACGCCTCTCTTCCTGAAGGGCAGGCTAGAGCCTTTGCCATGCACAAACAGCCTTGGTGCCTCTAGCGCTACCTGAAATCTTGCTCTCACCTATGTGCATTGGTCTTGCTCTTGCTTAAATTTTGCTCTAGAATGACCCTTTGGTGCGCTCAAATTCTAGGAACGGGTTCTTCTACAACAGCTCCAGATTGTCTTGGAGGGGCACCACGTCATTTATATATGTATTGAGGTGTGGTCAAGCTTCTTCTTCTTTTTCTGTGATTAGATCAGCTATTTTTGTGTGGACTATACCAAGATGTCAATTTTCTGGATCCGCTGCAGTCTTGGGATGGTGCATTGTGTAAGCTTATTTGTGCCACGTAGCCCTATTAGGGTGCCACATCCACATGAAGACGATGTTGTATGTCCCAAAGACTTGTCATACTAAGTTGACATATAGGCTATTTTAGTGCCCATTGGATGGCTAACAACATTGCATGATATTCCACCTCGTTAGAAGAAGACCTCAAAACCACCATTGATGTGAAAATGTCCGAAAGGACTGGCAGATAAGTATTTCTTATACCTAAAATCACATTGGTGACAATAACAAAGATTACTTCATGGAAGTTGCATTAGACAATGAATGCTACTTAGATTCATATTTCATACCAGCTAAAAGAAATTATGCTTGCAAAAGTTGATTTGGCCATTGCATTATAGCAAGTCCATACTTTGAAAACCTTGTGAGATTGAGCAAAAACTAGAATTCCCATTTCACCTCCTGCATGGATTCATTTCCAAAATGGGTTTCCAGATTATCTTGGATCTGCATTGCCAACCTAAGGTTTGGCATAAAAAATTTGGGGTTTTAGAAGGTTTGTTGACATCATAAAAAAGTAAAATGCACAACAATATTACATTGTGTTTTTTACTATATTTACTGTTGTGAAGTATAAAAGGTAATTAAGTACTAAAGATGGCAACAATGTTATTTACTTGGCATACAATAGCAGTTTTTTGTGTACTGTTGATTCACACATACACATCTCTTACTTATAGTGTATGAGTAATTGAACTTTTCACAGCACGCCAAACTTAATATCTCACCTCTTTCATATCAATCTAAGAATAAAAAAATACTAAAAGAGCTTCTAGTTTTAGTATGAATTTTACAATAGAGTGCCACCAAGACAGTAGCATAGAAACCACAAAAATGGCAGTAGCTAGGTTAGTGACTTTTCTTGTCAGGATGATGGTTCTAGTGAGTTCAAGATGGGAAAACCAACAACAGCAGTAGGGTAAAGGCTTCTTGCCAACCATCCCATTATATCCAGATGTTGAGTTGGGTAAGTATTTTATCTCTTATTTTGTGTGACCATCTGATGAGAGGACTCTTGTGCCAGTGTCTTGGGCTTGGGAAAACTTGACAAAGCTGCAGCCAAGATGTTCTTCCAGGATCACTAGTCATTGCCCAGCATATGCTGCCCAATTAACAAACACTGTTTAGATTATCATTATTACATTGAAAATTAAATTGAAATAGTATCAAAAAAACATATATTAAATTCCACCTTGAAAGAAGAATTGAAAAATTAATTATAAACATTATGTTTTTTCATAGAAAATTATCATAACTAGTTTGGAGCATATGGAAGGATATATTTTGAGTGATTGCAATATGCCTGATGTAAGGATTTTTATCTTTTAGGAGTTTCTCTCACTTTTATCAATTCAAAGGGATTGAAAAACCTTGAGCTAGGGGCATGAAAGTGAGATGAAATGCTGCTATGAAGTCTGCAGGTGGTGACCCAGACAGCGCACTTGGGTGAAAAAGAAGCAATGGGCTTGACACAAAGTCACGCGAATTAGTTTGATTAAGAAAGTTTATAATTTATAAATAAAAAATGCTAGAATATACTTGAAGGTGTTTAAAGAAGATTAGAGAATATCCAAGCATATTCTAGATACAGCCAAGAAAACCAGAATAAAAGTAAAAATCTTAATTGTAAAAATAATTAGAGTACCCACTCTAGATTCCTAAGCTACCACCATAAGATACTCTTAAGAAATCCATGACTTCTTAACGTAAACTCTATGTTGCATTAGGTGAAGGCCGGTCTCCTTCCAGAAGTTTGGATGGTAGAAGTTTCTTGTTAGACAAGAAGTGCTATTAGAATCTTTTGCAATATTGTTAAATATTATGTGATTCATTTGTGTCGAAACAGGTCTTTTGTAAGTTCAGAGGTGCTGCTGTATAGAATGCATAGAAGTTTTCCTCTAAATTTCTCAAGGACAGTAAAGAGCTGTTCCAATCACTAGTGGCCAACTAGGCAGACGATGGAAGCTAGAGTGGGAAACCTCCGGGAGGCAACGCTTGGCAGCTTCGATGACTCTCTTGATGAAAGGCATTTGAAAATATTGCGACTATAATGCCACGGCCATCTCAAATGCCACGTCATACGCCTCTTTAGCAATATATATTAAAGATACGAATTTCTGTGTCCAAAGGGTAACAAAATTTGGGCCTTCTCAATTATTGAGCATTGAAAACACAGCGCCCTTATTGCAAACGCAGTGCTAGGGTTTTGTTGATCGATCGATGGCTGTTGCTTCCTCCTCCGCCAATCTCCCAAGGTTTCCAAGATCGGGGCTAGGGCTCTCGAATCGCAGCTCCAGCGGCGCCACTCGGCGGGGCGCCTGTGTCCGGTGCGCGTATGCGCCTCGCGGCGGGAGGGTCGCCCTCGCGGAGCGCGCAGCGCAGCCGAATTTCTACGAGGTTTTGGGATTATCGTCGCAAGACGTGGATTTGTCGAGCATCAAGCTGGCCTACCGGCAAATGGCGAGGAAATATCACCCGGATGTGTGCCCCAGGGAGGAGATGGAGGAATGCACGCAGCGATTCATCGTTCTCCAGGAGGCGTATGAGACGCTGTCGGATTCCAGGCGCCGTGCCATGTACGATCTCGCCATCTCGGGCGCGCTCGATTCGCACGGGATTGCGGTGTCCTGGGCGACGGATTTCGAGGTGGGTTTCTCACTCTTTTCTTTCTTTCGCTCGAAAGGAATCTAATCTTTGATCGATCTTCTCCAGGATGATTGGAGGATGAGATGGGCCGATCAGCTATCCGGGCTGAAGAGAAGGAGCGCCGTGAAAGAACACGAGAATCGAGAGAGCTGGGCTGCGAGGATCCGGCGGCAACAGCAACGGCAATAGCATAAACAATAGATCAAACCATGTACATTGATAGATAAAAAAATAGATGCCGGAGGCTATACGCATCGGTTAAACTTATCCAAGCCAGCCCATGCATGAAAGACACGTCATGGTGTTAATCCCTCCACCGTGGACGCCCGCCACGTGTCCTGGCATATTCCCCCATTCCATCCGAGCTTTTCCCCTTTCCGCCAAAGCCTCGGAGCTCGTGACGCTTGCTATGGCTATGGAGGTCGGGCATCGCGGATCCACCGCTTTGAGCGCCCCGGGAGGTATTTTTCGGGAGTTCTAGGCTATCGATCCAGATCGCGGCGTTTTGGGGCGGCATCGCAGCTGGAATTAGCGTGGCTCGCTGCGGCATGAGGTAGATTCTTGGAAATCCGGGGAGGGATGGCTGCCGGGTGTGGCCGCGGCGAGAATGCGGCAGCGTCGGAGGAGAATCATCGCGCCCTGGTGCCGCGAGCTGCGGAGAATCATGCGAAGATGATGCTTGTGGGCGCCGGCGCGCGATGCTTGTTCTATCCCACGCTCTTCTACAATGTTGTTCGCAATAGATTCCAGGCAGAGTTTCGGTGGTGGGATGAGATTGATCAGGTATGGATTTTCCCCCTTTGGACAAACACTCGTACTAATCATTTTTTCGGTTTTTTTTTTTGTTTTTTTTTTTTCGGTTTTTGCTCCTTGTAGTTTTTGTTGCTGGGTGCTGTCCCATTTCCAAGAGATATACCCCGTCTTAAGGAAGCTGGTGTTCATGCAGTGGTGACTTTGAACGAATCATACGAGACTTTGGTTCATACGTCCTTGTACAAGGTTTGTGAGAAACAAAAATGGCTTGAGATCTAAAAACTTTGCTGCTTTTGTGTAGAATCAAGGGATCAATCACCTTGCAATTCCGACCAGGGACTATTTATTTGCACCATCTTTCGTTGATCTTCGCCGGGCAGTGCGATTCATTCATGGTAAGTTTTTATCACAGTTTATCTCCGTTTGGTTTTTGAGTAGATTCCAAATGCGCAGATCACGCACAACTTGGGATGAGGACTTACGTTCACTGCAAGGCAGGACGAGGACGAAGCACCACTGTTGTGATTTGCTACTTGGTAAAGTTCTCTGTAGCTTTTTCTCTCTCTCTCGATCGAGTTTCTTACTCGTTTCTCTCAGGTGGAGCACAGAGGGATGACTCCTCTCGAGGCTTTGAGTTTCGTGCGCTCCAAACGACCTCGAGTTCTTCTAGCCGCCTCCCAATGGAAGGTACACGAAAACTTCCGGTTTGATAATTGCCGCGATAGAGCGACACCTCTTTCTCTCTCGCCCTCCAGGCAATCCAGGACTACTGTGATCAAGTCATCAAGCCACAGTGCTACATGACTCTGAGCTTCCACACCTCCGTCGCCACCAGCAGCGAAGCTCCATCCAGCACGGTGGCGACTGTGGAGGATTTGGACTTGGACTTGCCAGTGCTGGTTAGCAAGGCAGACCTGGTGGGCTACACGAGCATCGAAGACGCGGGGATCATCGGCAACGAGCTGTGGAAAGACATAAGCTTCGTTTGCCGCTTCCGGCTGGCCGCCATACGCAACTTTCGAGCGGCTTCCGCCTGGATCGGCACGCATTCCAGAGGGTCAAGCCTCGAAACTTGCAAGAAGATGGCTGCTTCATCGCCATCACCATCCTCTTCGTCGTCGCCATCGTCGACTTCGGCGTATGCTTTGGACGGAGTCGTCGTGCCCGTTTGCTAGTCGGGTGGGAAACTGATAAAAGCACCGGATTTTGCCAGGTGGCACTGGTGGGGCCGTTGATCTGCCAGTTCTTGTTGTAAAAAGGGGTTTTTCCTTCTTACCGCTGCAGTAAGAAATTCAAATTTTTGTCCCCCATTTTTGTCGAGGGTTCATTCTCAAACCTTTGCGAGTCGCGCTTCCATCGGCCCGGCGGCGGCGCGTCGATCGGGCAGAGGTTTGAGCGCTTGTAGGTTTGGATCTTTGCGCGCTGGGCTTGGATCGGCTGTTCGGGCAGGGCATTTTTGTGCTCCTCGATTCGAGCTCTCAAAATGGTATGTTGTTTCCCTTGCTCCTGGGCGCCTTGGCTGATTTGAGGTGGTTCTATTTGCAGGGTTTCCTGTCTGGGGAAGAAGTGTGAGTATTTGTGAATGGATGTATCTATGGTTTCTTGATGGACCTTGTGCATGCAGTGAGCAGCAAGTGTTTGCTACCGTTCACAATCTGGAGCATTGTGTTAAGTACATAAATCAGTCGCTTGTTGCCTATGGATTTCCAGCACCGCTCGAGCTGGGCTCGCAAAATCCGGTATGGAACATTTACGCTTTCTCTAGCAACTCACCAAGAAAAAATATTTTCAATGGTACAGGTTGCTGTTGCCAGAACTTGCAACTGTTTGTTCGCGATACTTCAACAACGGCAGCACGATGTGGAGTTTAGAGAAACAGTCGATGATCAGCGACAAAGGTAAGTTCGCTTACTTACACTTGTTTGTGTCTAAGTAAGTTTTTTCAGGCTTTTATCTGACATTTCCCGGCTTGAGTCCAAAGTCGAGAGGCTCGAAACCAATCTCGCGGCCAAAGAGAGGGAGCTGTCCGGGATGCTCAGCAAGGTTTGTGTGTGTCTCTCAGTTCTTTGGGAATTATCACTCGTGCTCTCGTAATTACAGGAGCAGAAAATGACTGCTACTTTTAAAGCCCAGCTTGAAAAGCTTCAGCAAGAGCGTGACGAGTTTCAGAGAATGGTAATCGGGACACAGGTATGTAATTTATCGTACAGGTAATATATGTTCAATGATGGTCGCCTGCAGCAAATACGCACGCAGCAACTTCACGAGATAAAAAAGAAAGAGAAAGAATTCCTCAAACTTCAGGTAATGCTGATGCCATCTACTGGCTCAAGGGCCTAAACTGTGGAATTTTCTTAGGAACGACTGAATCAAGTTCTTGCTGACAAGAAAAAAGAATCAAGGTCGGGGATGGAGATAATGAGTCTTCTACAGGCATGAATTTATCGTTTACCTCTTTAAAGTTTCAATTGCGAAGTTACTGTAAACAGAAAGAAAGCCGTCAGCGTGGTACATGGAGCAGCAAGAAAGCCGATGGGGATTTCTACAAAATGATAGTAAGTGCCAGCGTAAAGTATGATAAAAAAAACTTGCGATGCTTTTGTTACAGGTGGATACTTATGAAAGTAAAAAGCAAGAACTCATGACTGAAAATGCGGAGCTGAAGACACTTTTGCGGGCAATGCAGGTCCGTGTCAAAACGCTTTCCTAGTTAATATTGAATGCTTAACAGATGGACATGAGAAACTTTTTGAACAATTCACAAACTTCTTGTGACAACGACTTGCCAGATCGGCCAGTAACTCCGCTTGGTGGACGCGCGGTAAGCTGGTGCTTCACTTTTTCTATCTAGTTTCACATCGACTTCTCTGCAGGATTTGTTCGATCTTCCCTTTCACATTGCGAAAGACCAGATTGAGGAGAGTTTGCGCTCGAAAATGGCATCGATCAAGGTACACTTGCAAGCGTTACTGGTTTTTCTACATCGTTTCTCTCTTGATGCAGGAATACATTATTCATTTTCAACAGGCTGAGCAGGGGATGCAGCTTGTGAGCGAAGCTACTGAGCGGGAACTTGAGCTGGAGGCGCAACTCGTTGAAGCTCGCAGCATAATCCAAGAGCAGGTGCATGGCTTTCATGATAGGAGTTGTTGTCTGACTGACTATGTTCTATGCAGGCAGCTGCGATGAGCAAACTCTCCGAGTAGGAAACCATCACTAGTTTGTTTTAGCAGTGTTACTTATGAGTGCATTCCCTTTGCAGGGGGTATATCGATGAAAATCATGTTGACGAGCTTCAAGGCTATGGGTCTGACTGCTCTCTCCTCCAAAGAATGTCGCACCAGCTGGACAAGGAGCGCTCGGAAATGGTGCAAGCAAAGGAGCGGCTTCAGGTATGTCCGAAACTACGTTTTTCTTTCATTTCCTATATGCAAATGACATTTGAGTATGAGCAGGAAGAGCAAGAAGCTTGGAACGTGAAGCTGAGCAAATGGACGTCTGAAATCGAATCGCCTAGCAAGGTAAGCGACGCAGCGTTCAAGCTTTTCGAGCTCTATCTCAACTTTTCTCACAGGTCCTCAATTGTAATGTGGAAGCGGCCAACAGAAGTCATGGATTCTGTGGGGGGCTAACGGAATCGTACGCAGTGTAAACCAGGAAAGCGAGCATTGGGCTGTGCTGCTCATCGTCAACCTCTGGTTCTCGTGATCAATCAAAGTTTGGTTTCGAAAGTGGCTCAGTGGAATCGAACCAAGGGTGGGGTGTAGGGCTTTAGATTTCTTCTTGGTTTTGAGGCGATGGCAGCTCCAGGGAAGGCTTTGCTTACTGCTGGCCTTGCCGCGGTGGGCGGCATTGTCACGCTTTCGCTCATCTCCACCGTCTCACTGCGAGCATTCAAAGCTGTCGTGGATAAAAACCGGGTAAGCGGTTTACGGCTCTTCTCGTTTGACGTGGTTTTTGATCATTTCCAGAGAAAGGTTGCACCGCCCTGCCAAGTTTGCAAGGGGAAAGGATTTGTTCCATGCAAGCTCTGCAAAGGCAGCTCCACCGTTAGCTGGTCGCCATTGTTTGATCCGGTCTTCATCAAGCCTTGCGTCTGCCCAACCTGCGAAGGCAACAGGTAGCTACTCGCATCTTGATCGATTTCTTCTCACCATTGCTTTGTCCAGAGTACAACGTTGCCTCAATTGCATTGGCAATGGCTTCGTCTAGAAATACTTTAACTTTGAGCGTGCAGCGTGTGAACAAAAGTGGAAGTGGAAACTTTTTTTTCTTTTCCATTTGTTTTTTTTTTTTTTCCTTTTCTTTGGTAGATCGTTTTACATCGTTTCAGCTTGCATGCAGAGAACACGTGGCCATCTATTCTTGAGCCAAATGGTAAGTGCCCGAGGTCTTTATAGTGTCTTGTTGCGAGTTTTAACTCCCCTCCTTGATTGAATGGGAGCCTGCAGTATTGCATTCTTCTCAACTTTGAGGAGACGGGGCGTTGTTTCCAAGCTCGGGAGGGCTCCAACGTTTTACGTGGTAAGGAGCCAGTTTCTTCAAACTATTCGTTTCTTCACGGCTCTTCTTCTAGTGAACGCAGAGTAGGATATCATCAATGGCTAAAGAAGCAGCAAGCGCCGAGGCTGTGGCTAATGTCCCCGGCCTCCGGCATACTGTGTGGGATCAGGACCAGCAGCTTCCGAAGTATCCCCGGATCGCGAAAGACGAGTCCGCTGATGTTGTGGTCGTGGGCGCTGGTATTGCTGGCATGAATGTTGCCTACAATCTTATCAAGGAGGGGATGTCTGTTATACTACTGGAAGGAAGGACTAGAGGTTTGTCCTTTTCGTGCTCTTTTTTTTTTCTTTTTATTTCTCGCATTTTGTCCTTGTGCTTGACGAAGTGTTGTTCAGGTAGTGGACAAACAGGGAGAACCACGGCTCACATTATGCCCTGGAATGACGACTTCTATTATATGCTAGAGCAGCAGCACGGTGCTCAGGTGGTTAAACATGTGGCTGAAAGTCACAGAAGTGCGATCGAATGGGTTGCCAACACTGTTCAGGAGGAAAAGCTCGACTGCCATTTCAAACGCCTGGATGGGTATCTGTTTCCGTGCAATGAATCCTCTACTGAGCACGATAAGTTACAGAAGGTTCGTGTATATACTGCTACGAGCTAGTTCAAAACTGACACAGACTTTATGTATTACAGGAGTTTGAGGCTTGCAAGAAATTCGGATTTGATAACGTGGAGCTGGTGGACTTGGGTGGTGATCCTTCGGTCGGCAAGATTCACAAGGCACTGCGATTTCCCGACGCAGCCGAGTTTCATCCTCTTATGTAAGCAGTGTTCACAAAGCAGTTTCTATAGTGTTGACGAAGCCTTTTTTTCTCAGGTATATAAACGGATTGGCCGAAGCATTCGTTCGTCGGGGTGGTAAAATTTACGAAATGAGTAGAGTGATGGAGATAGATGGAGGAAGTCAAGTTAAAACAGCGGACGGCGTCAGTGTTAGCACTGGAGCTGTGGTTGTGGCAACGAACTCCCCTTTGAACCATGACGTGCTCGTGCACGCACGCCAGGCAGCCAGCCATTCGTATGTTGTAGGCTTGAAAGTTCCTAAAGGCTCTGTCAGGTATTGTTTTGCTTTTGCTTTTGTCTCATTCCCCAGACACTAGACATTTTTTACTATTTGCTTCAACAGGACAGCCGAGTGGTGGGATACTGATTCGCCTTATCATTATGTGCGGCTGGAAGAGAAAGATGGCTACGACGTTTTGATTGTTGGCGGTGGTGACACAAGCACTGGAATGAAGCCTTCCGAGTACAAGGATACTTACGGGGAGCTGGCCAACTGGGCTCGAGCGCGTTGGACAAGCGCTCAAGAAGTTCTTTACACATGGACAGGACAGGCAAGAAAACAATGTACCACTGGTTTCGATGACTCAATCTTCCCTCGCAATACAGGTCTTTGAACCGGCAGACAAACTGCATCTTATCGGATTGGAGCCTCTGGAGTCCCTCAAAGGCAGCAATCAGTACATCGTGACAGGTTCGTAGTCGTTCTTATGCTTCTCTCTTTCCAAGTTGAGATGTCTGGTATAGGTGATAGCGGCCAGGGAATGACAGGAGGAACTATCGCGGGGATCCTCATCAGGGACCTCATATTGGGACGGCCGAATCCATGGGCTGCTGTCTATAGTCCAAAGCGGTTGCTGCCGCTGGACGTGTCGACAATTAAATCTGCGGTGGAAGAAGCCAATCACACGTTCCAGGTAGATACACGAGGCTGACTTCTCTGTGGCTAAAATGCTACCATGCAGGGATTGAAAGATACCATTCCTTTCTTAGGAACGGACAGTGTGGACATCGAAGATCTCCAGACGAGTCACGGAGCTGTGATCCAGACCGGATTGCACAAAGTTGCTGTTTACAAGGACGGCAATGGAAGAGTTCACCGCCACTCCGGTACATTTATCTATCGAAAAGAGAATTAAATTCCTTCGCCAACTTCGTTTATATGTTTGCTGCAGCCGTATGCCCACACATGAAGTGCATTGTGAAATGGAATCCTGTTGATAGCACATTCGATTGTCCCTGCCATGGATCCATTTTCGACCCTTACGGCAAAGTCATCAACGGCCCAGCAAAGGCCGATCTTTTTGAGATCTGAGAGGTGGAACGAGAAAGCTTTCGTTTAATGGAAAAAGAGATTCTCGTTTTCGCATATTAGTTGTTCCCTGTCCTTTCTTCCATCCTTCGGTCCCAGTCGGCAGCATCGTAACTTTGCTCTAGCAAATCCTTCTCGGTTGTGTAAACAATGCGGTCCTTCCCTATGATTGTTCTTTCGGCTTGCCGCCGCGCACTACGTAGCTGTTTACAGTGGAAAGGACAGGGTGAATGAGAGCACTCAGCAAAGTTTAGGAAAGATACCTTCTCGCGCAAGGTCGCGTCAGGAGCTCTCAGGCGCAGCGCTCTCTCCTTTCTCGCCAGGTTACGCCCCTCGATCTTGGTGTTTTTCTGTTGGACTTGAAACCACCGGAAGATCGGGATCGCGAAGAAGGCTACCGTGTAGGCCTGTTCAGCTGCGTGTTGGATGGAAGCAAAATACTGTTTCTATATTACCTGTAGCACTGGGAATGCATTTGAAACGAACTGGAGGAGCCCTCCCATTTGAGCAGTGATGGCAGCGTCCCTGGAAAGACAAAGTTCGCGAGTTATAATTGGAAGAGTTTACACATTAACTGAAACTGTACTTTAACAAGCTACCCAGTGTCAAGACTCCGAGTAGATTGAACGCTCCTAGCGCAACAACAAGAGTTTGGTCTGTTTGCTTGGCTCGGCTGTGTAAAGCACAAAAAGAAAAAAAGAACACTTAGACAAGAGATGAGATACAACCACACACACCTGAAAGGAAGAGGAGCTTCTTGGAGATACTGGAGCCTGTCACCGTTGTGACTTTTCCAAGCTTGATTGGCTGCAGTGCGTTGCAAAGATGGGAAGCGATACACGATGTTTCCCTGCAAGGATTGACGTTGCTAAAACGACGCAGAATATCAGAAAGCTTACTCTAGCATCGACTTCAGGTTGGCCATCGAATCGTAAGAGAACTGGCAAAACAAACGACTCATCGTCCTGCCAAACCAAGACAGAATAAAAAAGAGAAAACAGAATAAAAAGCGTTGAAAACAAAACAGCGTACCTTGTTGTTTTCATCCAAGGCGGAGACATCTAAGTAAGGTGCAAGCTCTTCTGCAGTTACCACGCCACCTTTAGCAGCAATTTCTTCTCCAATCTGGAGATGCAAAACGTAATCTACTTTAGAACAAAAAACGACTCATAGCACCCTCAAATACGAACATTTAAGAGTTTCTAGGAGTGACTCTTACCGCCTGCCACCGAACTTCGTCCAGTCCTTCATTGGGATCAGGGTCTCCAAATACGAACGAGAACACCTGCAAAAGAAACAAAACAGAAAACGTTAGCAACGACTCCGATCTCTAAAGGTATGCCACGCACAGATTCAAGGAAATTCATGCCATCTGTTCTTCTCTTCCTCCTTCTATAATAGTAAGGGTCCCAATACCTGCAGAGTTAGTTAGCTCTCTCTTCCTTGCAAAATCGCGACTACCAAAACAAGTCGAATGGACTGACGTAAAATGAGAATCCACTTCCGCGTGAGCTATAGCCACCTCGATTATTTCGATTGTCATCTTCACTGCAGACGATTTTCACTCCAAATATTTCAGAACAATCGTATCAAAAGGAGAAAACAAGAATAAACAACACCAACCTCCGGGCAGACGAAAGCAGCACAAAGATCGATGTGTAAACAATCACCAGAGATGCAATAAGTGTCGTTCCAAACGAGACGCGTATCAAGTACTCCGCTCCAGCCTACCAAGAGCCAGTTAAAAGTCTTGTAGAAAACCAAAGGAAATCACACACACCTTAAGTTTGCTCAAGGCTGGTTCGATCTTGAGCCGGAAAGATTTCGCCAGCAAATTCGATCTATAGTCCTTGGAAAACACGTAAAGCACGTCTCCTTCGTCCGAGACCTGGCACGGTGGCAGCACGCAAAGTGAGAAAAAAAAAAAAAAAAAAAAAAATCAAAGAAGAAAAGATCATCCATGATCCTACAAACAAACCTCTAGAAATCCTCCAGTATCAGCAGCAAGAGCTTGCAAAGCGCTCTGAGCCTCGCTAACTTTGAGCCCGGCATTGGTCGCAACATCCCCGACTGTCACTCGTCCACCCAGCGTATCAATCGCTTTCATGGTCCTCTCCCTCACAGATGGAGCCAACCTATCAGTCTCGATTTGCTCTCCAATCCGGAGGCCCGACCCGGCCGCTCTACATTCCAGCCGAATCCTCCGAAACAAGCTCGTTCCAAGCTCGCCTCTCCTCCGGCCTCCAATGATCACCACACCCAAAACATCCCCTCCTCCTCCTCCTCCATTCGCTGCTCTAGCCACCGGCGTCCTGTTCCTGGAATGGACTGCGTAATCCACGCATCCCTTGCACGAGACGAGGTAGCCGCATTGAATTGCCGCCATGGCGAGCGAGCGATCATCCCATTCCTGGCAGCGCGCTACCTAGCTAAGAGCTCTTACCTCCGGCGCGAGCGCTCCACAGCGAGAGCCAAAATATTTTCTCTCTTAGGGCTTTCTAGTGGCTATGATTTTGCCGCATATGAGCCGTTGGATTGGTGTTCGTGGTTCCAGCCATGGCCAAGCACGTCATTGTGACTGGAGGAAACAGCGGTGAGATGGAAGAGTTTCTTCTCGCGAGAGTTCCTTGGCGTGACAATGTGCTTCTTCTCTCCAGGGATTGGCAAAGCCACGGCATTGGAGCTTGCGAAGAGGGGAATGGCGATAACACTTGGTTTGGTTCTTTTGAAGTATCCACGCGATCTTCTCGAGTTTTTACTCTCTCGTGCTCTTGGGCAGCTTGCCGGAATGTGGAGTCGGGCAGTAACGCTGTGAGGGAGCTCATCTCCTTGACGGGAAATCAGTCCATCAGGTAGAGTTGTAAGATTAGGAAGTTAGAATTTACGGTCGTGACTTGAAGATCCATGCAATGTGATCTTGCGTCGTTTCATTCCATACGGAAGTTTGTAGACGAGTACAGACGAGCAGGGTATCCTCTACACGTCCTGGTACGTTTGGAGATCTTTGTAAAACCTCTGGATATGGAGATACTGGCAGATAAACAACGCTGGAGTCATGGCATGTCCACTGGACTTCACGCGAGATGGTTTTGAGATGCAGTTTGGGGTAAGCCCAAACTTCTCGATCCAAGGAAGCTGAAAGAAAGAAATTTTCTGGCAAGACCAATCACTTGGGCCATTTCCTACTGACGATCCTACTTATGGAGCTCCTTCATTCGAGCGCAACAAAACTGAGGTACAGTACGTGCGTTCGTTAAAGTGTTCTAGGTAACCAAAATCACATTTTTGACAGGAAAACGTCAAGAGTCGTGGTCCTTGCCTCCGAGGCCGAGAGGATCGGACAGCTCCACTTTGAGGATCTGAATTTCTCTAATAAGAGAGGTACTATAGCTCTTATCGACTTGTTTAAAAACTTCTCCATATCAGTTTACAATCCGTGGCTAGCATACGCCCAATCCAAACTCGCAAACTGCCTCTTTAGCCTCGAGCTCAGCCGACAATGCGAGTCTCTCAACCTTCCAATCACATGTAACTCTATCCACCCGGGCATCGTGGACACCAAGGTTCGATTTTTTTAAATCTTTGCAAGCGATTTGAGATATCACGTATGAGATCCTTGGCAGCTCATCAGGCATGTTTTTCCTGGAGCCATGGCTGACACTTCGGAAGGCAAAGTGCGTTCCATCTTGCGCAAACTGATTGGTCTTCGAGTGAGTAGAAAAAGATCTCTCTTTGGTGTGTTTTACGAGCATTTCTTTTTGTCTTTCGCCGCAGTCTCCACTCGAAGGTGCTCAAACGGCGATACACCTCGCAACCTCGGACGAAGTCGAATTTGTCACGGGCCAGTACTTCAAGAACTGCTGCGTTGCAAAGCCGAGCTCCCAGGCCATGGATAAGACTATCGCTCGAAAGCTGTGGCAAGTTTGCGAGGAGCTCACCGGTGATAAGCTCAATGTGTAAGAGAAGGCTTATAATACTCTTGGGATGGGACGTTCCACTGAGAAGAAAAACAAGCCATGGAATCTCTCTGGAAGTAAAAAAAAACCATGCCACTTTATGAACGAGATCCCACTTGCAGCCTTTAAAAATGCAAGTTTTCCAGAAGGAAAAAATTTAAAGGACCAGATCGACAAATCGCTGATGGAGTTAGCAGTGATTTTGCAATTGTCTTATGCTTTCGAACCGAAGAAAAAATGGTATAGAAGTTATTGATTGTCTCAATGTGACAAGCTCTGGCGTGACTTAACAAGGTTACATGCAGTGCTCATGGTGATCTTGCGATCACACGAAGACAAGGGAACAAAAGAAACGAAAAGAATCCATCCAAGCCAGTACTACACGAGCGAGTGTGAGTGAGTGAGAGCGAGAGAAAGAAAGAGATGTCCCTTGCTTGCTGTCAATCCAATGCCTTGACCGATCCAAGGAGCGAGAAAATCTAGTTAAAACACCTTGTGTCACTCGTGAAGCCTACCGGATTGACAATGATGATTCGTTCCATCTCGCAAACCGGAGAGATTTGGGCGATCGAGAAATCAACACAATCGCTTGAAAATGCGCGAGGAGATGGATCCATAGATGCGAAAGAAAGCGATCAGGTGGATCAAACCATTGTTTAAGCGCCAAACTCCGCCAAGGCGACCCTACCCCATGTGTGTTCTTGGAATTCTTCTACCAGCTAAACTATAGTATATTCGTCGCATTATTATAACTAAACCATCCCTGGGGTGGTACCACGTGGCGTACAGCATAGCAGGCCGTGGGGGGAGCTGCCACGCGTCAGGGCTGCAGGGGCCCACTTGTCCCATCGGGGGACCCTTAGATTCGGCGGATTCATTGCACTTGAAATCGTGCGGCGGGCGCGGGCACAGGCCGACGTCAGCATTCTTCCTCCTCTCGCGGTTTTTGATTTTAGGGTTTCTTCGAGTGCTCAAAGCTTTTGTCATAGCGTAATGATTGACGCAAGGGAGTGAGCCCTGTTCTAGAAGATCTCTAGACCCTATAAGCTGGATCTTGAAAGGCGTTCCGGCCATTTCCATACACGCATACGACGACAAAGGGACCAAATCGAATTTATCCAACCATAGGGTGGAAGGATTGGAAGAAGAAGACGGCAACAGGGATGTTTGGATTGGATCTTCTTTTCTTCGCGACACGAGAGGTCCACACGGAATGTGGGTGCGCCATGATCGGCCACCACCCACGATCCAACGCCCAGAGACCGCGACACGTGGACGCCCACATCTCGCCAGCTTTGGACTCGCATGGTTTTGGCCTCGACTTCCACCGACGATCATTCCTCCTGCTGGGAATCATACCAAAAAAAAAATGAGAGAGCTTTGAGGATTCCAAGACCGCAAATTCGCTTGTTTATGATCTATGGCAGTGTGTTGTTTGTTCTTCTTGTTGACACAAAGGAGAGATTCACTGCGCTGTGCTCCTCCTCTCGATCGATCCCTAAGTTTGTCATCTACCTCAACCTGGAAAACTACAAATTCCGGGAGCTTCCCTTGTCCCAATGCCGCGGGGATAAATTCGGTGCTTGGCTGGTTGGTTGGCGAGGATTGTAATCTCTGTGCTCTGTTACAACATCACACTGAAAATATTGTCTATGAAATGAGTAAACCCAGAGAATCTTACCCTTGACCCAGCCATTCCACACCAGACGCGTGCTCTTTTACCACGGGGGAGGAAAAGTCAAAACCCGTCAGTGAGCGTCACGGGGACGTCACTTCACGTGCGAGCTCCAATCTTTGGAAATTTTAGCTGCTTGATCGCTCACAAAGTTAAGGTGCCCGAGTCCCAAACAAAAGCCTCGCATTCGCGTTATAATAAGCGAAGATCCCCAACATTAAATCGTTGTGTGGGTTTTAGGGTTCTTGCTTGGCAGGTGGTCAAGACAAAGCATTGGAAGGAAGAAACACTGTCCCTGTCATGCAACTAGAATATTAAGGCAATGTGACAAGGAAGAAAAATAATAGAGGGGCCTTATGTAATATCTGCCACGGGACCAGCCAGTTGTTGTTGTTGACAAAAAATATAAGCGTAGTTTTCCTTTCCAAGGTTTGAAATATTTTGGCATTGTCTCTCGCTAACTTGGAGCTTGGGCATTGTTAAAATTTTTCCAGATCAATCACGGGCTAGTGGGTGCCGCTGATGCCCGCGCACACAAAGTCCTTTTGTCCTAAATTTGCCCGGTCGCAAAAGCAACGACACAATCTAAGTCACTCTGGCCTGGGCTCTCGAGACTTTCAAAGGAGCTTGACCACCCCTCTCAAGCTCAAAGCTTAATCTATGCGTTTGTGTTTTTCCTTGTGCTTGGATGGTGTGATCCAGATGTAAGATCACAGCTTAGGGAATGGCGTGACAAGCTATCTCTCTTTCTCTCGCGCGCAAATGCCTTGTACAGGGAATCGCATCCGTTATAACGTAGTTTACTGCCTCAAATATTCCAATGGATGATAGGTACTCGAAGACACGGAATCCCTGCTTTGCTTTTCCACCACTGTTTGGATTGTCATTCCAAAAGGCGGGAGCACAATATATTCCTGCAATTTCCAGCATATATAAGGGATGCTGATACTACTCATCTCCACCCATCATTCCTCCTGGCTTTGCAACTTTGGTTCCAAACAGCTTGCTTGCTAACTTAGTTTATACACACAGCATTGTTTGTAGCTGCCGCATTTTCTAAGGCTCTAAACTCCACGCGAGAGCTTTTGCTTCCTTGATCCTTGACAAAACCACGCGTCTCTCTAACTTAATCCAAAAGCCCAAGCGAGAGAGGCGGCCCACCATCGCCAAGCTCATACATCCCCGCCCTCACAAAGCCCCCAAAGTTGACAAATTGCGCTGCGAAACCATCTGGATGCACTGGAGACCTCAGCTTCACGTCAGGCATCAAGCGCCGAGGCAAGTTGCTTGCGTTGCTTGCGACTTCCCCTCCCGTATTATCTGTTATTATTAAAACCCTCTCCTCATAGAAATGCCGCTGCCACCCTGCCCGTGATGTCACTCACACACTCTTGCATTCACTAGTTTTAGGCAAGGAGAAAAGAAAACCTAGCACCCAAATCCACAATCCTTTCCTCCAGGACCTCCAGGACGCTAATCTAGTTATAAGCTACGTAAAAACATCTCCTCCTCCTCTCTCTCTCTCTCTCTCGCTCAGAGGCGCCATAGCATGGCAGTAGCAGTAAGTGTGTGCAGGTCGTACGCACGGGGCGAGAGAGTGAAGCGAATTGCGTCACCCGGTACGGGCAATGGGCCGGTTTCGTTATCATTGCTCTCTAATGGGTGCGTAGTAGCATACATATATATAAATATAGGGAAGGGGAGGTCTCCTGTGACGCAAGAGCAAATCTAAGGCCAGATTTTGGAGATTTGGTCCTTTTGTGCAATGGAGCAGCAGCGGCAGTGGAGCAGTGTCCAGCAGTGGAGCTGCAGCAGTGACACTGATCGATCAGTCGAGAGCACAGTGCTACTGGAGAACTGAAGAGAGAGAGAGGAGAGAGAGAGAGAGATAAGAGGTGAGTGTGTGTGTGGTTTCTTTCTCTTGCTCGAGGGCGACCACTGCTGTGAGAGCCCTGCTGCGCAAGCGAATGCGAATGGCTGGGTCTTCCTGTGAGTGAGTGGACGGGCTGACTATAAAGTACTGTGGTGAAAGCTCTTTGCTCGCTCTCTCTCCCCGTTCCTTTCGGTTTGCATCGGTGTCTGGTCCTTTCGATTTCAACCCATCCAGGAGGATCAAATTGTCCACAATTGGGTGTTGTCTCTGGATTTAGTTTAGCTCTTGGCTAATTGCAAGCAAGCAAGCGATGTACTGCCATTTAAACACCCACATTTGTGGTGATGGGTGATTTTGTGATTGTCTTTGCATACGGCACTTGCAAGTACGCAAAACTTTTGATGGCGATTTTGGATGTTACTATATGGCGTGGCGCGAACCTAAGTGTCAACTTTGTAGGGCACTTTGGCCGGTCAAACAGCGCTGCTAATAGTATACAAAGCATATACTATTCATGCATGTCCACATTAAATCAAATAACTCGTGGTAGGGGTCACATGTCGTGATGATTCCACCTTATAGTAACACCGCGGCGTGCCATATTCGCCCAGATTATTCCTCCTGCCGCCTTGACCCTTGACAAATCAAGGGCTTGTAGCAGCGCTTCTTGCGCTTGAAGCCATCCATGGAACGAGAGACCTTTTGTTTACACTCTCTTTCCTGCCCGTGAGTCTGTGTGTTTGTGTCAAATCTTTCTTTTGTACTCCAACAGGCCACAGCGAATTGTTTTATATGCCAAGCCTCCATAGATTTCTTCCCTCCCTCCATGCCAGAAGACCAAACAAAGAAAAACTTACTTGACCCCGTCAAATCAAATCACCACCACCACCACCTCCACCACCACCCAGATTTTACCGTGTTGTCTTGTTAGGCAGCCGTGGAATCCAATCTCCTCCAAGACTCTCTATAGTGTGGACGAGACGCAACCGCCATAGACAATAGTACATGCTGCCCAAATGCACATGGATTGTGCAAAGGTTTAAAAAAATCAATCGACGTCGTGGCATTAAGGTTTGGAAAATCCAGGATCCACGGACGCTCCGCCGGACGCGTGGCGCGCATCCGGGGCGTCGAAAGGCGGCGGCCACAGGCCGTTGGATGCACCGGCGGGCGTCGCCGCCGGGTGGGTCTTGTCGGCATTTATGGTACGGTCGGCCAGTAGATTTTCTCAATCACCGAGGGCAGGGTGGCGGGCTTGTTTTTTCTTTTACCCAACGCTGGCTGGTGGTCTGGGCTCTTGGCTTGGAACCGTTTGGAGGGTGAAAGAAAAAGTAAAAGTGAATGCCCCGCTGCGAGTCAAAGTACGAGTACGGAACAACAATCACGGCGTGCAGCAGGCGGGGGTGACGCCAGCCTCGGTACACTCATTAAGTAAAAGCATAGGGATATAAAAAAAAATGACGTTGTTTTCTCCTTTATTTTGCTTTGAGCAGGGGATTTCTTTTTTACCCTTTTGTATTTGCCAGCAGGTAAAAAGTATTAATGCAAAATCGGGCCCGGATCCAGTGGACGGGAGTGGCGGTCTTTTCGAGCGTGACGGCCCCTGGAGGGTTGACACGTCATGCTTGATTGAACAGGGTTGCCAATTCAGGAAAGGTGGCAACGGGGTCGGCCCTCCGTCGCGATGGAACGGCGCGAAACGTTGCCTAAAAAGGAA